ACTTTGTTGCATTACATTCTTGATTAAATTATCTTTCCATGGATATATAATTTTATGGTACTACTCCAAAAAAAGTGGTGTTATTAGTCATCAAACCTCAAAAATACACTTTTCCCAAAAGGTTTCCACAATTTTGGCCATTACTATATTATGATTAGATGTTGGGTCGATTTGATTTTTAGACCGAGACTTCCTCATTTGGAATATTACTTTATTTAATATAGTATTTTTGTTAAATAAGGATGGGAAAGTTTATAACTATTTGTACACTTGTGATGTAAGGGGGAAGAGGTTTTTTGGTTTACTTTTCAGCATCGAACCAGGATGGATTTTTTATTTTCATTGTTAGTGTTGGATGTTCATTTTTCTGTTTTATATTTTATTCTTATTGATAAAAGAAATAAATTAATTTTTTAAAAACCCAGGATTTCAATATTATATATTTTGTGATACACATTTTATTTTTTTTCTATTTTTTTCTTTTTTAGTTCTTTCTACTTGCATACTGAAGAAGAGTTAAAATATATTCTAGAGGAAAATGAGAATATTCTCACTTTTTTTTAAAATAAGTTGGGAGTATAAGGCCTGTTTGTTATCTCAGATGCTAATTTGCATTGCATATCAATTCTTCTCAGTTGTCCCATTCTAGGTTATTATTATTTGATGATAATTAATATATAAATGTTAAGAAAGCTAAAGTATCTTATGCAAAAAACAATTGGACAAGACCTTTTAAAACAAATATAGCTTTCAGCAAAAATAGTTTTTAACATTGAGCCTACAGTGGCACCTGCTGGACGATTTTAATTTAATAATAAAATGACAATAAAATTACATCATGAATCCTTGCATTTGGATTACCAATATTTACTAATATAGCTATATTTTATACCACAATAATCTGAATTCACATACCATACTAAGCAAAAGAAGACAATCCAAATTATAGCTCAATATAATGTGTGTGAAGCCTTCCTATATGATACACTGAATCAGAAGCCAACCAATCTTATTTTAGCATAGTATATTGTGTGAGCTCAGACTGTCTGCTAATTTGTTGTTCAGTGTTTTATACAAACCCAGAAAATTGATTGAATTAGGAAAACTGTGGGTAAATATGTCTGGAAAATGGGAATTATATTTTTAGGATGTTAAAGTATGAGTGGCAAACTTTCTATGGCAACATTTTTCCCAGATTCACCCCTGATTAAACTGTTTAAATCAATATGGAATTTCTCTTCTGACATTAATCTTTTCCAGATTAGTCTTTCCAAGTTATAATAAATTATGTTTACTAGCTCTCCAGCGTTTAGCATATTAGTTGGTGGTTGATGTAAGTTTGTAGCCTGCAAACCAAAGAACAGGAGAAGAGAAAGTTCAAAGCTCTCAAAATATGGTGCCCTTTGAACAAATATGTTTTTTAAGTTCAAGATACTGGCAGTGATGGTCTAATTCAGGTTGTCCTTGACTTACAACAGTTTGCTTAGTGAGAAAAAATATTTTTACTAAACAGCTGTCCAACATTGTTTAGCTAGCCCTTAACTAATAAAATGGATTAGTCAGTTTATTCTGTTGTATCTGCCCCAGATTCAAGTGGGCTATAAAAATAGAATATGAAACAAATAAACATAGGTACAATAAAAACAGGAAAATAGGTATGTTTTTTTTCAGTTTTTTTCACCTCCTTACTTCAAAATTTACTCTTCCTGAATTTATGATTAAATATTAAAATAGCTTTCCCATCCTTCAGTCAAGCATTAAACAATGACTCCCAGAATTCTCAGGCAATATTTGATTAATGTCTAAAGATTTTATGAATTATAGCCCAGTGAATCTAGAGTATAACTAGTCAGGAAAGGGTAACACATGTTGCCAGAAACAGCAAAAATGGCATCTCCATCTAGTTCCTGCTCCATCAAAAATAATTTGCTGCATAATCCAGCTACCTTCATCTAAGTAAAAGAGGATTCTCGAAGAGAAACAAGACATACAGTGTCTTCTATATGTTAATCCAGCACTTAGATCAAATGCTTCTGATTTGAATCCTGGATGCTTAGAGCAAACTTGCAAAGTATTATGTATTTTGTTTCTCTCTTTTTCTTTTCCTACATCCCTCCTTTCATGTTGTCATCCAAATCTCCGAATTCTCCACTCCCTGACATTTCTTTTTCCCAAAGTCCCTCTTTTCCTTTTCCTATCAGCCATTCCTTCCAGCTGTGCCTGCTGCCCTTTGTTGAAATAATTCAGGCTTTCAAACAAGTGTTCAGCTTAGGGTAGAAGTGTCATCTCTGACTCTTCTTGATAGCATATGAGCAGATCTCTTAGAAGAGTTGGCATGACATAATCACATCTCCTGGGAGCTCCTGAGATGCTCTAGATCAGTGGTTCTCAACCTGTGGGTCGGGACCCCATTTGGGGTCGAACGACCGTTTCACGGGGGTCGCCAAACAAGGCTGTCTGCCATTTTTCCCCCTTTTCTTTGGCCACGCCCCTTGCTCCCGGTGATGTATAAGTGATTGGGGGTCACCACAACATGGGGAACTGTATTATGGGGTTGCAGCATTAGAAAGGTTGAGAACCACTGCTCTAGATGTAAAGCAGTGGTACTAACTAGGCTAAACAAGGCTTTCTGCAAACAACCTAATCAAGTGAGTACTAATTCTACAAAGAAATTTCCCTAGAAGAAGTAGAGGCACCATTTTCCCATTTTATTTTCTTTTTGACAGAAATGGATATGGTGGCAGACAACCACATTAATTATCATCACTGACTTATTTTTTAAAAAATAGTTCATAACATATGTGTTGTTTTATTTCCTAATATGAGAAAAATCCTTCTTACATAAGCATAAGGCTGCAGTAATGGACATATGACGACCATCTTGAGGTTGTGACATGTGGAAGAAATCTCAGGCTTAGGTATCTCTGCTTACAGAGAACCTTGATGTGAGCCAGCTTTAGGCAAGGATATCAGCAAATCCTTGTAATGCAATTCATTCACTGACATAATTATAATAAACTGGTTGAATCACTGCATGTGAGGGACACTGGTGGTCATGTATTTTCATTTGATTCCATCCTTATCTATCTATAGACTGTGTGTCTAACTTTCTAATGCAGGCATATTGTTCAGAGCAGCTAAGAATTAAAACAAAATTAAAAAAATAAAGTTATTGAAAACAAACAAAATTGAAAAATACTCCAGTAAATATATATACTTATAAAAATTATTTTCAGAGTACAATGGAATAATTAATTATCCATGTAGTATAATAAAGAATGTGCCATGTGATCATAATTGACAATATCATTTGCAGGTCCAGTTTGCTGGGTTAAAACTGGGCAAAATCATTCCTGACTTTGGGTGTTGATGGAGATTATAAATCTAAAACTTACACTCTATTTCTGTATTCTAATTGCAGGCTGGAATATAATGTGAAAATAGGTGCAGCCCACTTTACATAGGAGATGCATGGAAGCAACAGAGTGAGAGGAGGGTTGTGTTGATCTCTGAAATGTGGACTGCTAGAAGGAATTAATGAGCTACCAAGTGAGATGAAATGCTAACTGGCTGGGCCTGAGCCTGATGCAACAGGGCTTTATTCATTTGAGTTTTAGGAGGGGCATTCTTCACATGCTTAGAGTTTCTATCATTCCTTTTGATGCCAAGCTATTATAAGAGAACAGCATTTAAAAAATAGTCCTGTTTCAACTAGAAATAGAGTTTTCTAACACTCTATTTCTGCTCTTAGGAAACTCTCATTTCAGCAATTTAGCAGGATTTGTGGTAGGGGAGAGAACTAGGAATGATTGGGAGCTTCCTTCGAATTCTGCAATCAAGTCAGCAGTCTGGCTAACATCTGCTAAATGTGAAGGCTCTCTGTTTTCCCGGTAACCAGGGGCTCCTGAATCCAGCTCCTGAGAAGCAGAAGGTTATTTCTGTATCTGGTTATTTCTGTATCTGATCAATTTCAGTGTCTGGGAGAAGAAGCTGCTCCACTGCCTTCTCCAGAGGTGGCTGTGTGAAACAGAACTTAGAAACGGAGAGGGCAGAAGTCATCAAGAAGCTCTACAGCCCAGCAAAATGCTTTTCCACACTTCCCCGCTAGGAAATCTAAAAAATTTCTATTGATCCGTCTCGACTGATCCAGTGGAAAAGCCAGTTTTGTCTTTCCCACAAACCCTTTAAAGTCTGAGGCGGTGCCATGCTTCCTTTCAGCGCTGAGGTTCAGGGAGGAAAGACATCCCCGGAACGACACAAATCGGTTCTTTAACTAGCTTCCCCGTTAGTTGCTAGAGGACGGCTGACCTCTATCAGACCTATCCAGCGCCGCCCGGATGTTTTGGACTACCAGTACCGTGGGCCAAGCCTTGCCTGAAAGCAAAAGGGTGGGTAGCTCAGGACACTGGGAGGGCATCGAGTTAGTGAAAGTTACTCTGTTTTTTTTTTTTCTTTCGACAAACACTCTTGTTTATTCCTCTATTAGTCTTCCCAGAGGGAGACCTAAGCAGGAAACGGCGTCGCTCCCTCTCCCGCCCCTCTCTTCAGGCTTGTTTTCCCTCTGTGTGTTGTTTATTGCTTCACATGTCAACTAAACGAGCTGGCATTTATACACGCACATGCCTGCAGGGTGTTTCCACCAGCCGAAGTGGTTCACGGGACCGGGGATGGAGGGTGAAGGTGGGGAAAAAAGAGAGGAATATCAATTCAGCCACCGCCGATTCATTTGAGCGACTTTTCGGGAACTGTCCGAGGTCCTGAAAGGACAGCAAGTGACGCTTCCTCCGTAAAGGGCGGTCTCTTTGGTTCTCAAAGCCTTCAGTTCGCCACATTTCTAGCCAGTCTTTTCGCTTTCGGGCAACAAAAATACGGGAAAGGACTCGAGAAGTTTGGTAACTGAAAAAAACGGGGGAGGGCTTTTGAGCGGGAAGAACTGGGGAATAAATCAATCGCAAGTGTGCAAGCGATAGTGCCAACAGAGCTGAGCAAGGCAAGTCCACCTGACTCCGGAGATCGAAGGGAAAGCTGTAAGTACTTCAATCACTACCATAGAACGGGTTGCGGAAAACTGTCGGAATGACATTCACCTCTTTGCTCTTGCCGTGCCCTTAGACGCTGGGGACACAACGGTTAAAGATGAGCCTGAGTTTTCCAGTTAGGAATACAAAGGTTTCCACTCCTAGATTCAGATGTCACAGATCCTTGATGAGACTCAGAAACAGAGGCATTGGACGCGAGAAGCCACGCGGGAAGAAAGAACAGCATATTCAGTCAGAAGGTCGCTCTCCTTGGAGGGCTTTGGAAAGTAGGGGCGGTAGTTTTGTCAGGTTGACGTTTGCGATTATTCTGGTTTTCCTAGGAAACCTGAAGGGGGCAAGGTGGGAGAGGAAAATTTTACAGCATTGCCAACTTCGACAGGACGTTAATCTGGAAAAAAAATGCCAGGAAAGGTCAGCATCAAAAAACTTCATGCGATTCATTCGGAACTGAGGAAGAACGAACATGGGTTGGAAAAGAATTGTACAGTACGAGCCAGGGGAAAAAATACCTGTATTTGTACATAAGAGATATCCGAAGAAGGTGGGTGGGTGAATGAGAAAGTGTTGCGTTTATTCTTGTCTTCCAGCCCCCCCCCCCCCAAAAAAAAAAACCCTTACTGGAATAGATTCGATCTAGCAAGGAAACGAACGGAAAGTAACACATGCCTTCAGTCAGCCAAATCTTTCGCAGTTTAACACGAGAGGGCGCAATTTCGAACTCGCGAGAAGAGCAGGCAGGCAGGACACTACATGTAATTCACAGTTAGCAAACTTTCTATTGCCAGCCTAAAAGTCTAAATAATTTTGAAACTAACTTCAACAAAGGATAATAAAATAGAACAATAAATATATTTTCAGGTAGATAGGATAAGCCCATCAACTACTCATGATTTGCCAAAATGAAAAGAGGTATCTGGCTGGTTGATCTCACAAATTCCCAAATTTAGGACCTACCCTCTTCTTGAACAAAATTAGCACATTTCCTCTGCATTTCTCAACTTTGCAAGCTGGCTAAGGATGATGGCTGTTATGGTCAAAAATATTTGGAAGGAGGGACTCTGTGGGATAGATAAGTGATCATAATGTCTGGATGAAATTACAGTTCAGAAAGATTCTTTTTAAATATCTCATTAAAAGGTTTTAGACTGTTTATAGTAACTGGATAGTTCTAATTTTCAGTGCTGGTGCTATTTTAATGTTCTGCAGAGCTTATTTGCTTAGGGAAGAAGGATTGTGTGTTTGAGAAAATTATTTTCTAAGCTCCTTTGAAGATGATCCTTTTGATCTCAAAAGGCAGAATAAAAGGACTCTCAGAAATACTTAAACCTAGACCAGTGTGTGCTTTAAAAAGTTAACATATGCTAGCATATAATACACAAACAAATTTGTTGCTAGATTAGCTATTGTATACACAACAACATGAAATTACAGCTTCCAATTCTTTAGCAGTTATTGGCCTTTGTACATATCAAGTTCTCCCCAAGAACCTACATTGTTGTAATGTAACAGTTTAATATATGTGTGGATTCAACCAAGATGGCAACTGACAGATGAAAATTTTGTTAATGCTCAGATTTTCTAAGTGCTGTCCAAGATTTTTTGGTATGGCACCCAGTGTATCAATAACCACTGGGAGCATAATGGCCAGTTTGTGTCATTGTTTTATTATTGGTTGGTTGCCCGGTCAGCCACATGTTTAGACTGTATTTAGTACATTTGTCTTCCTACTGGGACTTTCCCAAGGACCTGCGATAGCCAGACATTATTTTTAATAATATTAAAGTTATCGTTGCAGGATGTAAACTGTTCCAAGTAAAGTGATTGTGTCAATGCTGATGGTGTTTAAGTGGTGTTCCAGAGTTTTGGGAATTGTGCCCAAGGAGCCTATTACTGTTGGTACTGTCTTTGCTTTGTTTGCCACAGTAGTTCTATTTTCAAGTCTTTAAATATATATTTTCTCCAGTTCTTTCTCTTCTCTTCTGCTATCTCCAGGTATTGTAATGTCTACTATTCAGACTTCCTTTGTCTTTCTTATCAATAGTTAAGTATGGGGTGTTCTATGGCATATGTTTCTCTGTCTGAATACTAATGTCTCAAAGCACTTTAGCTTCCTCGTTTTCTATTGTTTGTCTATTTTGTAGTCCCACCAGTTTAATGCTTGCAGGCAAGAGGTATTTTTTGCAGCTGTTTCAATGAACCACAGTTGCTACTTTGCCATACTGTTATTTGTAATCAGTCTGTGGGATCTTCTTGCAGCACCACTATTTCTTCTCTTTGCAGAGATAATATTTACTGCCTGTTGCTGTCTTCTGGTTTTATATGCAATTTTTCTTGTGCAGCCAGAATTAGCACTTTTGACTCTTTCTTCAATTTCCCTGCTCTTAGTCATTGTCAGAGTTATCTGTTTTGCCTGCTAGTTTTTTTTTAATGTACTGAGCATGCAATCTATGTTTTCAGTCTTTGTATATGCAATGCGTAAGTAATTTTTGCTCCAATAGCTGCTGACCCTGGTTACTCAGTCAATAATCCTGAATCTGTAGCCCCCTTGTCATCAGATCTCTAGGACTCCAACATCTAGTTTGGTTCTTGTTAACCTGGGCATTGACTGATGCAATATAGGCTTCTGTAAAGTTACGTCTGATCATATTGTTTATGGGAGAGACACACTTGGTCTGGCTGCTCTAATGAGACCTATCCAGCATGGCACAGCTCTCATCTTTCTTCCAGCATGCAAGCCCCACAACCATATCAAAGTAATATCTCACTGGGGGTTATTACTATCATTAGTAAGCTATTATAGTTCATCGCACAGTCGGCCAGATATTTAGACTGGACTTGGCATTTTTATCCACCTATTGAGTTCTTCCCAAGGGCCTGAAATAGGCAGATCTTCTTGTTGATGGTATAAAGCAGGGGTGTCAAACTGCCAGCCCATGGGCCGGATGCGTCACAACAAAACCTCATCCAGAAAGTCTAAAACAGAAAAAGCAATAAATAACACAAAATCTTAAAGTATTCAATAGGTTTTGTATTTCTGGAATAAAATGTAGTATTTTATCCTCCCTTTTCTTTTGGAACCTGTCTTTCCTAAATAGGAATGCAAGATCAGTTTTGCTATAATTTGGGAACAAAAGTAAGCCGGAATAAAGCAGTATGTAATAATATATCATCTGTTTTATTATAGCTTTCATTTGTTATCCAAGCCAAAGAACTTTTGGAAATAATGATTAGGTTAATCTTCTTGTCAATCCTGAAAATATGCTTTTCAGATTCAACAAGCACTCTTTCTGCCTCATTCACAGGATTTTTACTGAACAACAAAGCAGCTGTCAGGGAAATGAGAAAGCCAGTGTGTTCCATTTGTTAAGACATAGATCTGTTTGCACTTCAAACAGCAAATAGAAAAACCATTGGTTGCTATTGCACATGGCAGCTATCAGCAACCCAGCATATACCTTTTTCTGGCATGTTTAGCTTATTTCCTAATATTCTGTTTTGCAGCCCATGGGATCAGAGCAGGTGGAAATGCGCAAAAGGCAGACCTCTGCATCTCAGGAGATACCAGGTTCCCTACTTGCCCAGTCTGGGGTAGAGACTCAAGGCTCCAATCCCTGTTGCTTCTGCTGGTGCTGCTGTTGCAGTTGTTCCTGGTATGTCTTTACAATATATTCAATCCACCCACAGAGAAGATGACAGCTAGTTACCATAGGAACATAGACATATGTCCCTTAGGTAATCAGATAAGCAGGAAAGGAAGATACCTAGACTAAGCAAGGCAACAGCTGTGTGGAGATGAAAACAAAATCATGTTGTTTGCAGAGTTGGACCAAGGTGCAGGATTGATTCTATTCATACATTATGTGTTTCCCATTTAATTTTCTAAACAGGATAACTTCATTCACAAATACATTTTAGATCTATAAAGTTGGAAGTGGTTTAAATGGCTAAATCAGGTATGTCAAACTTGCGACGTCACGTATTGTAACTTTTTCCCCATTGCCGGCAATGGGGTGGGCGCAGTGGGTGCTAAATGGGCCAATAATCTGATTCAGGGTTAAATTAGATTATTCATAAAATATGAATTGCACTGCTTAGTGCTCCACTTTGTTTTTACTTTATTTCCTTTAAGTACAATAGGCTATTGAATTCAGGAAGTGAATTATTTATTGGGATAAGTAGAAATGTATATGCAATGCTTGTAGGTAAAAAAAAATTAGTGCTATTGGAATTTTTCAAAACACAAGGGAATGGATTTTTTAAAAAGCTTGGAAAAAAGAAAATCTGCCCAGTACTCAGTCCAGATTCTGCCTACCTGCTCCTACAACATGGTACATAAAATCCAGACATGGAGCAGCATGAAATGCATTTCATAGATGGCCGTATGTAGCTGTTATATTGTGAATGATAGGTTCTTCAGTATAGAAGCATTTCAGAAGACCTTGAAACATTTGATACATAGTAGATAAAAATTGAGAACAATGTAATTTTAACCAGCACTCTTGAAAGAAAGAAAATTAGATTATTGTCTCTGCAAAAGTGCTGGTAGATGAAGAAAATAATTTCAACCTGAAATTAGTATTTTGAAGATAGTACTGTAAAACTATTTATACACAAAGGCACTCATACTTCTTCAACAAGCCAGAGTCAAAGCAATCTCTTTTCAGCAGAACAAATTTAAGATTTGGAGTTTGCTCTGTTGAGAACTGGCCTTATCTGGGCTTGAAAGCTAAGCAGTTTTCACTTGAATGAAAAATGTCAAGGGAATAAATGCTACAGCTAGACAGGGAAGTTGAGAAAATGCTCCCAAAATGACAGTGGCAAACCACTTCCTTATTCTTGCTAAAGAAATCAAATAGGCCATGTTGCTAGAGTCATTAGGAATCAAGCTTGATTTGCAGAAGACATGGAAGATTTATCCAACCTGGAAGACATCCAACAGGGAAGACCTATCCAACATGGAACACACTCCTTGTGTTTAAGTTATGTGAAGTACAAAATATCAGCCACACACTACAGCCAATTGGGATAACATAGAATCTTTAATCTAAAGTAGTGTGCTGATATCTTTAAGTTAACATATTTTTAGAATAATTGTCTTATTTCTTAGCCACCAGTCTATTTCATTCACATTTTCGTCAATAAATTGTAAGTCAGAACTTTTACTCATATCAACATTAAGAATAGCCCAGTCCATGTATTGCCCGCTAGCTGTTCTGGATTTCATTTTCAAAAATGACAGCCAACATTATATTTACAATAATACTTAGATTGCTCAATGGGCTTGAAAGTTGTTTTTATCACTAGTTCCATATTTGCAGGAAAACTTTAAATGATCACAGTTTATTCTCCCATAAATTTGAGACTGACAATCTGCTGAGTAGATATATGTGGTAATTTCAAGAAATTCAGAAGAGATCAGTTTGGACAGTTAATTATTTCTTTAACTTGAAAGGCATATATTTCAAATAAGTATATATATATACTTCAAAGTTCTTACAATAGTTTCAAACATTTATTTCTATTACAAGTATAAAGAAAAATACAAATCAATTTCTGCATAATAAAACTTTTCCTTTTTATTTCATATAAATAGTTATTATATTTTTACTATTTTTAAAATAGATATAGTTACAATGATGGAAATAATTGCTCAGTTAAGTATTAAAAATACTTGTTAAATCATCAAATAACTGTGATGCCAAAAAAAGTCCTAATACTTTTAGTGGCCTGGAATCTGACCAGAAATAGAATAATCTCAACATGGTTTATTTCTTTGGAATAACAATTTTGGGAACAAATACTGATGTGAAACAAGCTACAAATGAATGTTCTACTTATACTCCAAGTTTACAAAAAGCATTTCTTCCAATAATCTGAATTGAAAGAAAAAATGAATAATAATAAGAATAGTATCCTTAAGTATAGAATCGTCAATATTTGAAGCATAGAAAAACTGAGAAGAGACAACCAGTTAGACTTTTGTGAAATCATAACTTATGCTCTATTATTTCAACAATTTAGAATCAATACTTTTTAGATGAAATTATAAACTGTTTACAACTATAATAAATCTTCCATGAAGATATCTACATTAAAAGATCACATCCATTAGTCTGAGGCATGACAATTTTATTTATCTGGAGAAGGAATAATGTCTCCTCATAGTTTTGTCAGAGATTTTAGGCTTATTCTCAATCATTGTTAATCCAGATAATCTTGCTGTATAAATTCATTTGCATTTCACCTTTAAATATGGTAGCATATAAATAAATGGCTATGAAAAACTTACCTTGGCAATAAAGGTGGCAGGCAGTAACAAATTTTTCAATGTTATATTGATTGAGAAATGGAAGATGCATGGTATGTTTCAGCCAAGACATGAAAATCTACTTCAAGTCCACTTTCAGTTATGGAAGTTTACAGGGTGATTTGGGGCCAGTCACTAAGTTTATCCCAACCTATCCATTTTATGCTGTTCTTGCAGAAAAAATGTAAGAGGAAATGCTATCTATGCTGCTTTGAACTCTTGAATGGAAAGAGAAATATAAATCTGGCAAATAATAAATAAGTTCAAAGGCGGTATTTGAAAAAGCCAGTATAGATAACTGCACTCAAAACAAAAGCAAACAAGGGGGGGGGAGTAGTATCTAATGATGTTTATGTTCTCATTTATCATTCCAAAAGGCATTCACAGGGTAGGCAGAGAACCGAACATATGCCAATCACCACAATAACGCTTAATTTCCATCCAAAATCCTGGGGAAAATCTTCCATTAAATTATTTATTATTTATTACATTTATATTCTGCCCATCTTGTCACTGAAGGAACCTAACACATATTCTACAAATCTAGTCTGCTTTCTAGACATACCTATTAAGACAACCTCTCTGTCTCATTACTGCCTATCTAAATTCATCTGGGCCACCTCTTAAGGGTGTCTAGCTTTTTTTTTTTTAACTTAGCCAATTGCTCCAATGATTGCTCTGAAGTCTGTTATGTGCCCTGCTCTTCGTACTTTTTTATTTTCTATTTTTTTTCTCCATTAACAGCCCTTCCTTTTTGTGATCCTTGAAATTCTTGAGAAAATGTTTCTACATTTTTGATCCCATTAACTTTTATTTGTGGGATGGGTTCAAGAGTATCTCAGATGATATCCACCAGATTATTGACACTTGAAGTTTCATATTCAACTAAGGTTACCTTAAAGGAAAACAACCTTTATAACTATATAAATACCCATTAGATTCTCAGTTGCAACAGGACTAAAGTCTGAATGTCCTAATTAATGTTTTTAAAGAAAAAAAGAAAAGGGAATCTTTGACTGAGTGGATACATAGTGAAAGACATGTTCAGCACCATATGCTGTTTTCTTGACTTAGATCCATTACAACTTTGAAAAGCTAAAATATTTTAAGATCATTAAAGATAAAGGTTTCCCTGTTCAGTCATGCCCATCTCTAGGGTGCAGTGTTTATCTCCGCTTCTTGGCCAAGGGAGCTGGCGTTGTCTGAAGATATTTTCTGTGGTCATGATGCCAACATGGCTATACATCAAAGACTCATGAAACACTTGTTACCTTCCCGCCAAAGTGGTACCTATTTATCTACTCACATTTGCATGCTTTCAAAGTGTAAGGCAGACAGAACCTGGGCAGGAATAGGGGCTCACCATGTTGCAGTGCTCAGGTCTTGAACCTGAGTTATCAGCTGACAAGCTCAGCATCTTTAAGTGCTGAACCATTGTGCCCCTTATTAAGATCATTAGTTCCATCAAAATCAGATTTCCCCCTTTTTAAAGTAAAATAGTCCAATTAGAGATTTTTGACATTGCAACTCCTTTCATTCTGAACTTTGAAATAAAGGAGTCAGGGACTGGAACAAAAGTTTTGTAGAGACAAGGAAATTACAACATCTATAAAGACAATGTGTATTTACATGACCTAGTATTGCAAAATGGGAAGAAATAGAAAGCCAAGTCTGTAATTGGGTAACACTTACCACAGAGTCTATCCTATTGAACATTTATCTAATTCTAAATCAAATATCAAATTTCTTTCAAGGTAAGAAGGCAGAGCAGGTCTTTCCAATGCAATAGATTTCTTGTAGATTTATGAGCTCAAAATAGGAAGCATAGGAAGCAGTCTGATAAAATTACAGGAAAGGGATCTTCTTGACATAAGAACAAATAGCAGTGGGGGAAGTACACATAAATAACCCTGAGTGGCTGGACATCAAAGTGCTAATTTGCTTTCAGATAAATCTCCCAGTGTAACATTTTGCCATTCTTGTCCTCTTGCATTCTACAGATTTTCTAGAAGAAATCACATTTACTAAAATATTATTCTTTTCTCTTCTGTTCTATATTTTTAAAATAAAACACAGGCAAGTAATGTATTATATGAACCAATATTTTTCTAACAGATTAAAAATAAGATACCTTATCGTTCAACACATCACGTTTAGAAGAAATTATGTGGTACTTTAGTGCAATTCTTAAACTGGGGGACATAGACTGTAACTGTATTCAGGTATCAACCCTAGTGGTAAATTTAAAATATCAGCAAATTGTTTATTTCAGTTTTACCAAACTCTGTTTTATTACAGTCTTACTGTTAGGAATCAAGATGAAAGAGCAGCAGCACATGAAATTGGTTCAGAAATGATTCCATACTGTGAACAAAGGTAAGGATTAACTGCGCAATAAAACCTTTGTGTGGATTTAAAGCTCTAGTAATTCTCAGACAGCTGACTGGAAGTGATGGGAGTTGTAGTACTACATATTTGGATGAATCACATTGGATAAGGTTATTACCATCCTCATACCAGTTTAGCATATTTTAGTTACCAAGATATAGATCACTGCATACATTCACCTGCAAACTGAGTCTAGTTAAAATGTGGCTGTGAAAATATGAAAAATTAATGTAAAAATGTTTTTCTATTTTAACACTTTACTTTATGAAAACATTAAAAAAATAAGACTCTTTTACTTTAGTTCCTTATTCTGCAGCAACAGGATAGCATATAACAGAGAACATGGGAATACTGGTCATACTGAGTAAATATATATAGTACATAATAGTACTGGTCGGATAAGTAATAAACATACTATAATAACATAACAGATGGAAAAACTACTGACAGTGTATGTTAACAACATAATAAGATACCATTCACCACTTTTTTTTCATTTTTTAACTAAATTGCTTCAAATTTCAGATTTATCAATGCCTAAAAACCTCCCAAATTCCACATTTTCCTCCCATACAGTGGTAACTATATTTACTATTTTTTCATTCATTTATTTCATTTATAGCTCAACACATAGTTTGGAAGAAGCAAGTGCTTGGAGGCATTCCTTTGATAAACTGATGGCAACACCTTCAGGTCGAAATGCTTTCAGAGAATTCCTTCGGACAGAATACAGTGAAGAAAACATGCTTTTCTGGTTGGCCTGTGAGGACTTAAAACAGGAATCCAACAAGAGTGTAATTGAGGAAAAAGTCAGGCGAATATATGAAGATTATGTTTCTATTCTTTCTCCAAGAGAGGTTTGTAACATTTTGTAAAACCCTTGATTTTAAATAGTCAACCAAAGATGTACAATGTTCCAAGTTGATCCTGCTCAGATAGAGTATTTTAAAGATTAAGACTGTTACAAGATTGTTAAGATTTTTAAAGTTTGATAGTTTTAAAATTATTTTTTATAAGATTTAAACATTTATTTTGTGAGGTGATTTGGGGGGGGAGTTTTTCTTGGGCTAAAAACTGAAATACTAAAATGTTAAAATATATTTGTTCTGAGGGAGTTAAGGGTTATGTATGAATTTGTTTATTGTATAAATTTTGTTTTAAAAGTTATAGATTGTGTTTATTTTGTTTACAACAACCCTGTATTTTGCTCCGGGAAGCGGGGGGCGGATAGGGTGGGAGGGGATGAGTGGGATTAAGTAGGTTAGTTATATAGAAATATTAATGTATAAAATAGATAGAGTATTTTAGAGGGAGGTGCCGCTCGGGTAGTTCCCCTGAACTGTATCCGAAGAGGGATAAGAGGGGAGGATGGAAGGAAGTTGGATGGGAGGAAGGGGTGAGGGGAGAGATGAGAGGAGAGAGGGAGTAGGGAAGTAAGGAAGAAAGGTTGAGATGCAGTCGGAGGGGAGATAGACGAGCGACACCTAAGGTTCTATTTTAAAGGTATTTTTCTTTTATTTTTTTTTATATAATGTATGGAAAGTATGTATTGAAAATTTAAATAAATTTTTTTTCAATATATATATATATATATATATATATATATATATATATATATATATATATATATATATATATTTGTTCTAACTGAAAAGAATAAATTATCTTTATGCAAACAAACAAGAATAGGGATAAGTGCATAAGTAGGGGACAGTTATAAAATTTAAACTTTTCTTTCTAGAAGACTGACGTGGCTCAATTACATAGAATAAGATTTCAAAAGATTTATTTTTGCATTCTTTTCCCATTGCTAATGAAGTCCAGCTACATAGTAAATTGATACATACATAGATTTATTAAAATCTAACTTTGTTGCAGTTATACAATGCCTTAAAATACCTTTCAGGTATTGATAAATACTAGTTGTATAATATCCTAATAACCAATTATCACTTAAAATCATACAATAGATTTTTAACATACAATTCTTATCCTTCAATACAAAGTTTTAAAAACTTTAAAAATATAGTGTTTATATTTCATGAAGACAAGGGATTGCACTTGTGAAAGCTCTTTGAATGTATTATTTGATTTGTGATGGAAAATTGTTTTAATCCCTGATGGAGACTTAGATACCTTAATATGATGGATTCCAAAATATCCAGGTCTGTTTTAAATCCATCCTGGATATGCTTCAAATGCTAACCATTTGAAGAAAATCTTTTGTTTCTCTTTCTTCAAGGAAAACCAAAACTTATGGATTTTAAAATAAGATGAAAGTAGAACATTGCCAAATGTTTTAGTGGTAATAGAATGTGTTCCAGTTATAAAAATGTCTACACAATTTTCAGGAGCATTGTGATACTATCAAATTGTTTCCATTGTTAGCAACAGAATTGAGGATATTACTGAACATTTTAATACATTCATTTATTAACAGGTCAGTCTGGATTCCAGGGCAAGAGGAATTATTAACCGGAACATAATGGAACCATCAATACATACTTTTGATGAAGCACAATTCCAAGTTTATATGTTGATGCTCAGAGATTCCTATCCTCGGTTTGTGAACTCTGCTATTTACAAAGACTTAGTTGTGGCACATTTTCAAACACCTGCTGAATCGTAGAATTTAAATGAATTATTTTGCATCTAACTACCTACCTACACAAATAAAACTTTGGTCTATCATCCATTAATATGGGATTTAGAATCAACAAGCCGATTACGTAACAGTAATTCAGTAACAAGTGTATCTACAATATCCTACTGTTACTGCAATGGTAACAGTGTTCCAAAGTTTACAAATTCTAAAATTTCACATTATTTCCTGAATTTTAAGTAGTTCTGCCTAAATTATACATGCTGATGGAAGATATATAAGAAAAGTTAACAGCAGGAACATATACTGCAGTAAAATTCAGAAATGCATACAGCTTTTAAATAACAATTCTATGATCTATCTGGAGTACTTCACTATCCAGGTGTCCTGACAGTGAAAGACTGGAACACTCTTCCCAGTGTTTTTATTTTAAAAATTAATTATTATGTTTGATCCAAGTTTTCTCCTGCATCAGGGTATGGCAAAGAATAAAGGAACTACTTGATCAAACAGGTGGCAGTTCTTTCTATTCTGCTCATTGTATAATCCATACTACGTCACTGATAAGATCTTTCAAATATTAAAGCAACTCATATCAGAGCTGTTACAAAGTTGTAAGGAAAAATCTGATGTTGAACTTTGTCCTCCAGAGTCTTATCACTGATCTTGGACAACAAAATCCAAGAAATCTTATGGCTGTTGAGTTCTGTCAGTCAGGATCTCTGATTTTAGCCAAACCTACTTAAAACTTACCTAAAATAAAACATTTTAAGTTTAATTCGTATAACAATAATGCTTGCTTGCTGAAAGCTTACCAAAATTGGAATTTTTGAACAAGCCTAAAAGGATTTCTATGAATTCTGAAACTTTTTCTCAGTAAAACTTACTTGAAATGATTACTTTGCACTGTACTAAGCAAATATTTGCTTTGATATTGAAATATTCACATGATAATCCCAAAGGTGCTTTTTTCAAAAGGCAACTGAACTTTGTTTTTCCTTGAAGACGTTTCACTTCTCATCCAAGAAGCTTCAGAACTGAAGAAGCTTCTTAGATGAGAAGTGTAATGTCTTCAAGAAAAACAAAGTCCAGTTGCCTTTTGAAAAAAGCACCTTTGGGAAAACCATGACCTGCATGACTGAGAATCTCCATAGACATATTCACATAACAATTTATTCATGCTTATATGACAACTGGCATTGAGTTCTAGAACTGATTTCCTTCATTTTTCTCTCTACCAACAAAAAGTTCAGCTTAGACATTATTCTTAAGATTCAGAATAATCCACTCCTCTTTTAAGGAAAAACCAAATTTTATTTACAAACTTAATGACAGGAGTAGCATGACCATTTCTTCATGAATAGCAGCAGAGCATTTCAAAGCTAACAACAAAGCAAAGCAAAATGCACAAACAAAAAAAGGCACTGAAGAGAGATGTCACCCATGTTATCTTATTACTGAATTCACGATTTTTTGTTAATATTTCTAGAAAAGATATAGAAAACACATGAGAACTTGATAATCACTGCTCTAAATTAAGCATCCAATATGTATCTCAGCTATTTTATTATGTAAACAGCAATCATAGTTTTAAATATTCATAAACTGGGAAGCCACTTTAATCTAAGAATATCAATTTGTTAACTATAGAATTTGTTAAAATCTTGCTTTCCAATTGATTTTGGGGGAACTCTGAAAATTGTTCCACTGTTTAAATTAGAAAACAGTCTGGGCTTTTAAAGAATGTATACATTATGAAAACTAATAACTCTGAACATCTTTAATAAAGAATAGCTTTACATTTATTTAGTTCATAATTACTTCCTGCTATTAAGAGTTCATAGAATTGGTATTAATCTTGCTTTAAAAGTTGACCCAAATACCAGAATAGAACCATGTGATTTGTGCAGAAATGTATATTACTTTCACACCAATACCAGAATACATTTTCAGCTTTAAGTATTCACTCATTAGAATTCCTCATGTGCTGTTGGCCATAGAACTAGAATCGAATGGAACCTTACAGGCCAACCAGTACAACTCCCTACCCAGTACAGGCAGTTAGGGAAACTTCAATAGCCCATTTGAAGAGCCCCTAATGAAAGGTAGCCCAAGACTTACAACCATTCATTTAGTGACTGCTTGAAGTTACAATGGTACTGAAAAAAGTGACATATGAGTGTTTGTCACATGGCAGCATCCCCATGGTCACGTCATCAAAATTTGGACACTTGGCAACTGACTCATACTTATGATGGTTGCTGTGTCCCAGGGGCATGTGATTACTTTTGCAACCTTCTGACAAGCAAAGTCAATGGGGAAGCAGATTCACTTTTAAGCCATTTTACTAGCTTAACTGCAGTGATTCATTTAATAACTGTGGCAAGAAAGATTGTAAAATGGAGCAAAACTCACTTAACAACTGTCTTGCTTAGCAACAGAAATTTTGGGTTCAACTGCGATTGTAAGTCAAGGATTACCTATACTTTATGTAGCAGCCTGTACCGATTGACATTTCAGTCAGGACCTTTCTTGTGCTATCTAGCTGAACCTCATGCATACTTCATCCTTAATCACTGTATGCACTGCACATGTATCTTCACATACCCAAAGTAGAAACTATTTGTTTTAGCTATGAAAGAAAGTGGAGCTAAATTCTGGTGCAACAAAAGGATTATGTAAATTTCACTGAGTAAAGCAATATTCACTATTATACTTCGATTAAATCTACAAAGAAAGTTTTTAAAAATATTCTTAAAATAATTACTTGTAAGTCAAATATATGTAATGATTGAAAGGTATGTGTAGAAGAAAGTTCATCGAATCTTCCCCATCCCATTAATTTAAAAATACATGCAAATCTTCCTCAATAACTGGTCTTATTGGGTATGAAGTATGCTTTAGCAAATAGCAATAAATTAAATATTATTTTTTCCTTTTTTCAGAAATAGATTTAATTATGAATTTTCTGTGGATGCTTTTTATGCCTACATGAAGTAAAAAAAATCAGATTGTATTAAAAAAAAACAGATCCGTTAAAATAGAATAGAGTAGATTTACTTTTCTTCTTTTCCAGCCTATAATCAGTATTCCCATTTGGGGACTGCAAAACAAAAACATTTTTAGGCTTCTCTCCACTGGGACAAAATACTCAGATATACTAATTTACTTTTCTGTTCAATGCAGCAAGCTGAAGATGTGTTTTATTTTTCCATGTTAACCCATTTTTTTAAAAAAAGAAAACTTACAAGCCGTCACCACACAGTGCCAAGGGAGAAGATACAGAACAAAGCTGATATTTCACCTGTGACCATAAGTTCCATTACCTTAGTACGTAAATAAAATTAACTGTAACTGTATGACTCAAGAAAACATGTTCCACAGTATTGCTCTGAGTTGCATAGAAGAAAGTATCTCTTGATATAACTTTGGTTCTCATTCTCCCTCCCTACTACCATTTGAATGACTGATAAACTGCTACCAAATCCATATTAATGTCTAGTGACAACATGAATACATACTTTCCAGGCACTATTACATAAGTACAACAGGAGAATCAAATAAGTATATAGTTTTCCTCAAAATACATTGCAGTTTAAAGAGATAACATTTCACAAATATTAAATGAATACGAGGAAGTCCCTCTATTTAAAAGTTCAGAAAAATGTGTAAATTATCGATATATAAAATTATAATATTGTGATACTATAAATATGCATACTTAGAGGTAAGAGTCAGTATATTGCAGGGGTGTCAAACTACCGGCCCGTGGGCTAGACGCGTCACGACAAAACCACACCCACCCCATTGCCGGCAATGGGGAAAAAGCTCTGATATGTCGTGTGACATCACGTGACATCGCAAGTTTGATATGTCTGGTATAGTGGATCTTGTTCAGAGACAATCACACAAAAAACTGTAATTAATTGAAAGAATATTTTGACTACAACATTTATTTGTAACTAAATAAAACAAGAAATATAAAGGCAGTACTCTATGCCAGGCATGTCAAACTGCCGGCCCGCAGGCTAGATGCATCGCGCCAAAACCGTGCCTACCCCATTGCCAGCAATGGGGGAAAAATCCTGATATGTCGCGTGACATCAGGTGACATGCCTGCTCTATACTGTTATTGCAGATCTTTTTTTGCTAGGAAAGATTGAGTCAGTGTCACATTATTTCATCAGAAATCATCATCACAATATGGACTAGCAACAGACATGGATATGGAATTAAAGTTATATTACTGAACTCTTGAATGTAAAAGCTATCTGCAGCAGTCACCCTTAAAGGGTGAAAAAAGTAAATGAAATGGAAGGGCTAGGTCAGTAGGACCTTCTACTCAAGTCAGTTCTAGATTCTTCAAACTAAATCAAAAGGTATAACAAAAAGAGAAATCTATAATTTACATATAACAAAGACAGTAGTTCCAGAATTAAATACAGGATCTAAAGCTGTATTCACTATGTGGCAGTCCACCCATTTTGTTCAAAAAATGAATGTTCTAAATGAAAAGCAGAACAATTACAGTGCTGAGCATTTAAGCATATTCCTAGCATCTCCACTCAAAAGACTTTTTCAAAATAAAAATGAATCTCTAACGAACGTGAATCAGATTTCAGCCACCAACACAATCCAGTGTTAGGGAGGCATTCTCAACATCAAGTTCCTAGTTGAAAGGAATAACATTTTTCACTGCTGTTGTGAACTTAATATATATGGAATAACTATGTAAAAGTAAATTCATTTAATTAGTGTTAAAGTATTGACACATAGGCTATATAGGGATTTCCAGTTTGTCCTGAAATGAACTCAGGCTAAGTGAAATATTTCTGAGTGTCAACAAATTTAAGTTTACAAAACAAATCCCTTCCCCAAACCCTCCACCCTCCCATACCCTCCCCCATCTTCCCCAAACCTCCCATACCCTCCCTCAACCTTCCCAGAGCTGAGTACAGGCTTAATTGAAATTTTTCAAAGAAAATAAAAAGAAAAAAAAAACTTAAAACACATATAAATCCTAAACAAATCTAAATACCTTAAATTAAACAAATTATCTTCTCTAAAACAGAATAGTTACAAACATTAAACACACATTATAATATACTCTAAACATTTTCTAGTATTGTACTTATATTATTATCCATCATTCTATATAAAATCCCCAAAACACAAATTTAAACATTACTTTCTTTAAATATCTATACCTATAATATAAGATCTAATCTCCCTCTTTCTTTACTCTAGAACACAAAAATAAGCATATAAACATTCATTATACCATTAAGACTGGATACTCTTTTGAATAGTTAAACTAAATGCTTATATTTAAACTTCTTATCTAAAATTTTCATTCAATCTCCATGATCTTCTCTCCTATCAAAAAAAAACTTAAAAAACATATAAATCCTAAACAAATCTAAATACCTTTAATTAAACAAATTAGCTTCTCTTAAAAATAATAATAGTAGATCCCATAAACAAACTTAAAACATTAAAATTCCCTTATACCTGTTTAAATCTTTACCAATAACAAATTCCTCCACAGTAAACACATTCCTTCTCTATCCATAAACCTCTTGAAGGTAATTCCAAAAAGTTTGTAAATCTTAATTCTCCCGCAATCTCAATAGTCTTCTGAGTACTTAAACTAAGTACTTAAACTTAAACTTCTTATCTAAAATTTTCATTCGATCTCCATAATCTTCTCTCCAATAGCCAATTCCATCCACTATAAACACAATCCTTATCAGTCTCTCTTGTCCATAAACCTCGAAAGAAGTACTTTAAAATCTGCCCTTAAAGGTAACTCCAAAAAATTTGTAAGTCCTGGTTCTCCCACAAACTCAGGAACCAATACTTGTGAGGCTTCCTTAACCTCCTTCTTCTGTTGGTCTTTCTCTTTACGTTTATATGTTGCACAAGTTGTCCTCTGCTCTTTCATCTCGACTTGTTGAGGCCCCTCAAACTGAAATTTCCCATTTTTAATTAATATAGGCTCTTCACACTGCAATTCTGCCCTTAAAGGTTGCTCCAAAAAGTTTATAAATCCTACTTCTCCCGCAGATTCAGGAACCAATACTTGTGAGACTTCCTTGACCTTCTGTTGATCCTTTTCTTTACAATTATATGTTACACAGGTTATCTTCTGCTCCTCCATCTCTACTTGTTGAGGCCCCTCAAACTGAACTTTCCCAATTTTCATAAGTGTAAGCACTTCAGATTGCAATTCTGCCTTTTTATCTTCCAAAGCTTTAAACGTGGTAGATTTAAGTGTCCTTGACTCAGCATTTTGCAAGATTCAGATTTACCATCACAAAAAATGGAATCTATTGTAACAAAATCAATATATCACAGGGCTTGAGGGATGAAAACTATTATTATTCCAAGCTGGTATTTACTAAGAAATAGGACACCCATTAGCAACTTGCAATATTCTTTTTTCTGCCAGTATCAGTTAGAAATCAGTGCTTTTTAAAATCAATGCACTCCACAGAACATTAATGCTGCTTAATTGCAGCATGCTAAAGTTAGTGCTCTTTAGAGTCTGGAGACAATTATATGATGTAAGTATCTTTGTGCTTTGAAAAGAGAAGTTTGGTTGCTCAAAAAAACATTGTTAGGAAGAGCATACTGATTTTGTTGGGCTTCCAAGTCTTTGATATGTTGTTTAAATGTAGTAAATGCACACTTGTATCCCATTAAGAGCACTTTCCTCTTAATTTATATTAAAGCAGACATGTCAAAGTGCTGGCTCATGGGCTGGATGTGTCATGCCAAAACTGTGCCCACCCCATTGCCAGCAATGGGGGAAAAGTCCAGATATGTTGCGCGATGTCACGTGATGTCACGAGTTTGACTTGCTTGTATTAAATTTGTAATTTTTTTCAACAATATTTTTTATTTTTCAAAATTGCTTTTAGCAAATATTTTAAAGACAGAGTTTGAGAAACAATACACCACCAAAACTTGTAGAGAAAATTTACAGTTTTATTTCTGACCTCTGAGGTCTAGAACTCATTCTACACTATTTTTCAGTACAATGTATTTCTTACCAAACGTCTGTGTGATTGGTAAATTACATGTTTTTGGTCATGTTTGGAAAACAAAAGAGAGCAAACAAAACAGATCAAATCAATACATTAAAAGGTAGACTAGAATTCATTAATATAAAAATACTGCACATATTTTATGCTGTATAATAGTAGGGATATATCAATACAAATTTCAAAATTATCTGAAGTTTGATAATACAAAAAAAGATTTTTGTATGTTATGGAACAAGAAATATGATGAATTGCAAAAATGATTTACCGAGCCTACTACTCACATGAGATATGGATTATTTTGTTAGTATAATGAAAAACTAGTTGCTTTAACACACTGAAATGATGCAAATGGAGTATGACATTGTGAATTTTACAAAAAAAATTCAACCATGTATGTCAAAAACAAATAAGTACAATAAATTGTTTATAAAATTAAGGAAAAAAAAGAGTTACCCAAATTTCATTGATAAAAGTTTAATGTAGAGTTGCTTATAAAAATGGAAAAAATATTACACCATACAACTGAGCATCCTGGCTCTGACTATTAACTACAGGGATGGTCATGTCAAAAACAAAATCTAATTTCAGAGTTATCTGCTTAAAAGGAAGCAAACAAACAAAAACATCTCTGCAAGGAATTCGATGCTTTACCTAGTTCTTAAAACTAATTATAAAATTATTTTTAACTGGTCCAACAATTTCTTCTTCTAGCAGAACTGTAAAAAGAAAATAAATATTTATGAGATAGGCACATATAACTAGGTTCACACCATTTGTTTTCTATGAATGCAAAAACTGGATATTTTGCTTCTTGGACACATCCTGAGTATTCTATTTTAACATCAGGATTTATATCAAAATTCCCTTCAATTTTGAGCATTTAATTAAAAATCATAGAGGATATATTAAATCTACTTTTCAATTTTACAATTTCATATGAAGAATTCATCTATCTATCTATCTATCTATCTATCTATCTATCTATCTATCTATCTATCTATCTATCTCTATCTCTCTATCAATATAAGAAAAACGAACACCAGGATAAAAATAAACATGACCGTTTAATATAAACAAGGCTGTGAGTAAAAAAATTAGTTACTGAGCTTTCATCAGCCAAACTACTGACATCATCAGTTAGAATGCTAGCTGATTAGGGAGCTTGCCTATATACAGCTGCCTGTCTCTGCACCCGGCTTCTCGAGCGCGTCATCGGCCCATTAGCTATGTTACTCTGCAATGTGTTAAATTGATTCTCATCCGGCAGCCTGTTGGTGGATCTGATGATTGTATCTCCCTCTCCCTGATCCTGCAAAGAACAACTGTTCCCCAATGGTGAACAGTCTTCCAGTCTATAGAATTAATTGCAGGAATTGCCCCTGCAATTACGCTGGGGAAACAGCTAAAAGGCTCCGGACTAGGGCCCACGAACATGAACTGGCAATCAAAAAGCAGGAGCAGCGCTCGCATGTGTGGGCTCACATGACCAATTTGAATCATACATTCGATCTGGAAAATGCACAGACCATATCTTGTGAGACCACTTAGAGTGGCCGCCTTCTCAAAGAAGCCTGGCTTTCAGATGAAAATTCCATCAACCGGCACATAGACCTTCTACAAGCATACCAGACTCTCAGAAGATGGGAGAAACAACATGGTAATCCATGGAGTAGATGCCATCCCATACGGTGCAAAAGCAAGACCATGGCTCTACAAATGGGGAAGCTGCGATCCATAGGGAGGACAGCGAACTGGCAAAAGAGGAGGGGGGCCGGGTGACACCACAACGAGATAGCAACTGGCAGGACTGGAGTGACAGGGCTGCAGGTGAGGCGGCAAGAGCTGCTATGGGAGGAGATGACAAATGGCTTGGAAGGAGAGACAAAAAAGGAGGGGAGAGTATGAAGCAGGAACATCTGAATAGTTGTTCTTTGCAGGATCAGGGAGAGGGAGCTACAATCATCAGATCCACCAACAGGCTACCGGATGAGAATCAATTTAACACATTGCAGAGTAACATAGCTAATGGGCCGATGATGCGCTCGAGAAGCCGGGTGCAGAGACAGGCAGCTGTATATAGGCAAGCTCCCTAATCAGCTAGCATTCTAACTGATGACGTCAGTAGTTTGGCTGATGAAAGCTCAGTAACTAACTTTTTTATTCACAGCCTTGTTTATATTAAACGATCCTGTTTATTTTTATCCTGGTGTTTGTTTTTCTTATATTTTTATTGATATGGCCAGGATTCACATTTCTAATGATGTTAAGGATATAATATAATATAATATAATATAATATAATATAATATAATATAATATAATATAATATAATATAATATAATAATATAATATAAATATTAATATTAATATTAATATATATATATATAAATACATATATATGTTTTCTGAGGTTTTCGCGGGTGTTTGTATGTAGGTCTTTGGTTATTTGGGTTTTCTCCCACGTAAAATTGGAAGTGTCTTGGCGACGTTTCGACGAAGTCCCATTCGTCATCTTCAGGCTGGTGTCTTCAGCTTTGTGCTTCGAAGCTGAAGACATACACATACACACACACACACATACATACACACACACACACATACATATACATAAAATGGGAAATAAAATAAGGTGATCACCGACATCATCAGGGTATAAAATGCTGGATCCGGGAGTCCATTGCTGCTGCCTCTGCACTTTGACCTTGGATTAGGTCATTGGTCCACTCATTAGCATCGGCTGTGTAGTTCTTAAAGGGGCTGTTTCTAAAGTTGTCTTCTCCTCTCCAATTGCTGTTGTTTTCTTTGTGCATGTGTGGGTGCCTGGAGATGCGCTGGTCTTCCGCTCCCAGTTGTCTCTCCCCACCTCCTCATTCATCTTAGTTTGCCTCTGTATTGCTGCTCTATCTAGCTTGTGTGCTTCAAGCTCTGTTCTTCTATTTGCCAGCCCTGTTGCTTTCTTCGCCCATGTGTAAACTCCTGAGGTTTGGTCGTCTCGTTCCTGTTTCTTATTGCCCCGTCTCTCGCTAATGGGTGAGCTGTGTGTGTTAATGGGTTGCTAACCAGGCGTGTCTTTGGAATGGCTTCACTACTTGTTACCCTCATTGCCCCCTCGGTACATATATGAGAGCACAGGATATACCCATCCCATCTGTGCTCGCTATTACTCACCTGTTCTCCCATTGATCGGGGCCGTAATTCTATTGCGGAGTCATTCACGAGGCACACCTCCGATGCATTTCCCTCATTTTTAAGTTCTATTGCCCCTCCCCTGCATCTATAGTCATCAGCGGGGTGTCCAGGTGCTTTTGCCTCTCATTTGCTACCTTCCTTGTTGGCTGGTGCGCTCATCTGTCTGGCCAGGTGTCATCAACGGGGTATATCGGAGCTTTTCCCTTCTCCCTGGTATGTGTGTATGCCCCTCGGGAGAAGCCATCTGATGGTACCTGTTCGTTGTTCTCTTTCCCTCGTCCTGACTGGATTGAGTTGTTTGTGCTTTGGACGCCTGTGGGATATATTTCCCTTGTGTTTTTTCTCATCCTCCTTTTCTTCCATGGATCTGGACATCAGCTCCTGGGGGTGGGTTATCTGCTGGCGTTGTGTCATCCCTCCTCTCCTCTTTCATGTTTAAATGGGTTAGAGACGTTGTTTTACTTGTGGGGTGTATCCCCAGTTCATCACTCTCTCTCAGGGTTGTGATCGCTTCCCCTGTCATCTCCTCTTTCTGATCTTGTAGGGAGTGAGTTGGTCGCCTGTGTTTCCAATTAGCATCCCGTCCTTCCCATCCCCTTAGTATATGATATGCTGGAGGGAGCTCTGTGTGGCGATTGATGGAGTGTCTGTCTGATAGCCAGGCTTCTTTGAGGAGGCAGCCTCCCTGTGTGTTATCTTGGGTTATGGCCTTGACGTTGGTGAGGTCGAGTCCATGGCCGTAGTCGGCCATGTGGGTCCACACCTGTGAATATTGCTCTCTTCTCTTAACTGCGAGCTCATGCTCGTGGACCCTGGTCTTAAGTCTCTTGGAGGTTTCACCAACAAAATTGCAGGGGCAATCCTTGCAATTAATTTTATATATTACCGAGAAGACAACTTTAGAAACGGCCCTTTTAAGAACTACACAGCCGATGCTAATGAGCGGACCAATGACCGATCCAGGGTCAAAGCACAGAGCCACATAAAAATGGACTCCCGGATCCACATTTTATACCCTGACGATGTCAGTAGTGTGGCCGACGAAGCTTGGTTTTGTAGATTAAACATTTGTGTTTATGATTTTATCCTGGTGACCACCTTATTTTATTTCACATTATGTGTATACCCGGGATTCGTGTTTTTAATACTATTAAGGACATTTTATATACACACACACACACACACACACACACACACACACACACATATATATACACACACATACATACATACATACATACATACATATATGTTTGTGTGTGTGTGTATGTGTCCTTGATAGCTGCAAAAATGCGAATCCCGGGCATATTTGTTCAATAACACAGCCTTCGATTTCCGGGATAGGTATAAACCAGTTGTTATACATAGGACAGGGATAACAAAAAAGATAGGATTAGCCAAGAGGGGAAGGAGGGGGAAAGGGGTAAAAAAGAGAGGAGGTTGGACTCAAAGAGGAGCCGGCGGATAGTCCAACTGATCGTAGGCAGACAGGACAGAGAGACAGGACACGATCGTGCGCACGCACAGCCAGGTGTGAAAGGAAATTGGGGGAGATAAGGCTAACAAGGATGAGAGGGGCTGAGCCTAAGAGCAAGCCGATAGGTATCTCCACCGTTCGTGGGCAGACTGAGAAGAAGGATGAGGCACGATGGGGCGTGCGCACACCCGGGGGTGGAGGGAAATCGGAGAAAAAAAGACTGACAGGAACGGATGACGGAAGGCAGGAACAGAGTGTAGACCAACGAGCTAGAAAGGAAGGGAGCGCTGATGGCAAGCCTTTTGGAACACTGGATCTGAATGCGCAGCCTGGAATGAGCAGGAGGGAGCGGTTAGAGAGTACACCGGCAGCAATGGTGCTGGGAGGGAGGAGATTGACAAGTATGAGAGAGGGGAAAGGTGTGGAATTGGAGTGCAAAAAAGAGAAGACGGGACAACTAAGGCAATTATGGTTAGCCAAGAAGGATGGCCCTATCACATGGGCAATGAGTAAGCAGTTAGGCCAGCAAGGTGTATAAAAAAGAATCTCCCCATCCCCTAAGCTTTACTCTGAGGACGCTGGCAGGGGACCAGCGAAAGCTAAATTGTTTCTTTTAACATTGTAAATAGTTGTTTTTATTGTTTTAAAATATCTTTTTAGCAATAAACAACTGATTTATACCTCTCCCGGAGATCGAAGGCTGTGTTATTGAACAAATATGCTCAGGATTCACATTTTTTGCACCTATCAAGGACACACATACATACATACATACATACATACATACATACATACACACCACTTTGTTTATTTACTATAGTTTGTTTTATTGCTCTTATAGATTTATTAAAATAAACACTATATTACTGTCTACATTCAAACATGCTACCTTCTGAAATATTTTAAAATATTTTAAAAAAATGATCCCTCATAGAGCAAATGTAAACCAGCAAAAAGTTAAGTATACTTTTTCCAATAGAGATCTGCTAAAAGCTTCTGACAAAACAATCTGTATATAATAAGTTTTAGAAATCTTGCTATTTTAGTTTTCCTCTTTCTATTACTATTTATGCAACATTTGGCAATATCTAACCATATAATTATAATATTTGCATTCCAAATTATTTCTTTTAATATTAGGTTGCTTCATTTTCATTATTCTAATTAAATATGTACAGAACAATGAAACAAATGCTTCATAAAACAAAAGCTTTATCATTCAAAAAAAGCCAATACTGCACAAAATACAAAGCTAGTTATTTTTACCTTCCATCTGTTTCCACATTCATTGCACACAACAAAGGTTGTCATAGGTTCATCAGCACTTCTGGTCTGAACCTACCAAAGAAAAACCCCAAACAAACAGAAAATAGCAATGTTACTTGGCTATATTTATATAATGTTCTTATTTTGTTTACTACAATAGCACAATCTAATTTACTGATAAAAATAACTAAACCATCCAATAGCCCAAACTATTCTAGTCACAATATAACACCTAAGTTTGAATAAAAACATATATGATAAAATTAAGTTAAATGAAGAATGAAAACACCATAAAAATTAGTTGGCTGCAAGGTGGACATTGAAAATAAAAAACAATATGAATTAAGATACAATTAAAAGTCCATTTTAAAGCTTGGGAAAATACAAAGCTCTTCACCTAATGTCAAAATGATACTAATGTGGATATCAGGAAGCCTCACTGGAAGGGAATTCCATAACTGGGTGCCATCTCAGAAAAAAACTCTGTCCCTTGTAGAAACCCACCTTACCTCCTTTGGTGGGGGCAACTGGAGAAGGACCTTACTGGAAAATTTTAAGGTTTGATTAGGTACATACAGGAGGTGCTCCTTCAGGTAGCCTAATCCTAAATAGGTTAAGGGTTAGTATGATCAAAACCACCATTTTAAATTTATTCAGACATGAAAGCCCAGTTTGTTTAATCAAGATTAGTCTTTTTAGTAATGTATGCTAACACTAACTTTTAATTCAATTACAACTTTAGTGACTTCCAAAATATTGAGTTCATAATTTTCATATGAAATATTAAGTGAACTCACAATCCTCTTTAACAGCTAAGATTCTCTCTTGTATGCCTCTATGACATTTGCCATAATCTTTCCTCATGGCTTTAAGAAAGGACAATGACAGATGAATTTTTAATTCCAATGTTCTCTAGGCAGGATAGCCAGTGCTAAGAGAAGAGAGTTTAAAATCTGGCAACTCCAAGATTACATTTTGCCTATCATTATTCTCAAAAACACTTTTCCGTATAGACGTATGTGGAATTACACTAATGGTTAAGTATGAAAAGTATGGAGGAATGATTAAGCCAGCAGGGTGACTTTGGACCAGTCACTCTCACTCAGCTCAACCCAACTCATAGAGTTGCAGTGGGGAAAATAAGAGGAAAAAGGAGTATTAGATATGTTCAGTACCTTGAGTAACTTATAATATAATAAAGGAAGGATTAAAAAAAGAGATAGATGATAGACAGAGATAAAAGTTACTAACTCCAAAAGCAAATACTGTGATGGGTGTGTAGAAATGCCTAAATCACAAATCAGAGTATCTACAAAACACAGATTTTTGAACTGTTAAGGTAGCTGAATCTTTTTACTGCCTTGTTGGTTCCCTTATAATATGCTTTTAGCATATTATTTAATATTATTTAACATATTTCACAAAATTGCAAATGTTGAATGCTACTTGAGTACAAATGATATACCTGGGTGTAAGTACAGTTCTTCTTTTTACATTTACCACAGCTAAATAGATCAGTCTGTGTTCCTCCTGTTTTAGCCATCTGGTGCTCTCTTATAGCTTCTTTGGTAAGATTCTTCCTCATTTCTTTTAGTTCATCACTTGCCATCTCCTATAGTGAGCACAAAAAAAATCATATTAGTTTTACTCTTTTTGAGTATACACACATACACACTTTGTTTACTAAGCAGTAGGTTTGCCCTTTAATTTATGAAAACAAAAATATTACTAATATTTATGATGTATGCATTAGCCTTATTGACTAATTTTAGATTATTCTATATATTGGATTATCAGATTTATTTTAGAGACTTACAAAATGACCATTTATTTTACTGAAAATCCTGTTTGAGGATTAGAAATCAGTCTGGTACTTCAGCCTCTAAGTGCTATCAAAAGCTATAACCGAGTGCCTGCTGTCTGAAAACATAACAGAGGCCATGTATCTTAGGTATTGTACAATCATTTGTTATTATGTAGAACTTTTAAATGATTTATTCTCCATAGCCGCATTTGGGAAAAAATATATTTTTCAAATGGTTGAAGTGACCAGATTCAACATAAAGAAACTGAATATATATACACATAGTCTTCAGGTTACAAGGGCAATTGGGACAGAATTTCCATTACTAAGCAATGAAATCATAAAAAATTAATTTTAATATTCTTCTATTCTAACAATATTTAAGGTATGAGGCCTGTGACTACTTGAATTATACTGAGGATGCACAATTCAGGCAACCAAGTTAAGATTTAAGGTTTTTGATCCCTTTGCTGCCTTTTTTTGACTGTTTTCAACTATAGATATGGTAGCCTTACTTGGACCATCTGGGTTTTAAGCTATAGCGAAAAGTCAAGAAAATGGAGTAAAAGAAGGTAATGGCAAAGGATTCTGTATTATTGCCAAGAAAACTGTATTATCACATTCAAGAAGCTGAAGTATTTCTTTAAGACATTATATCCAGTTAGAGCAGTGATCTTTCTGGTACAATACTATCTATATCAACTGAAAGTAGGTCTTCAAGATTTCAAGTAGAAGCTGCCATATCAGGAGATGCCAGAAACTGAACCAAAGACTACATGCAAAGCATATGTTGTTTTACCCATTTCTGCTATTCTGTGAAGACTTGACAGCAATAAGTTATAGCCTTCTATATTGCTAAAACATGCAATATAGATTTTGATTCTTTTAAATTATATAGTATAATTTAACAATACATTCAGAATTTTTTTCCAAAACACAATAATACTGTATTTTAATTTTGAAATACAAAAAGCTATAGATTTTTTCTTAAACAAATCAAGTAGGCAGGAAGACTCTGGAACTATTTTCAACTGAGATATGTAAATGTTGCTTTAGTGAATCAACTAAATGTGGATTCATATTTGTATTTTAGATTAAGAAAATAAAAATTGTAATACGTTGAATGTTTATTACCTCTGCTGTCATTTTAGCAAATCTATCTGGAAGTATATTTCCACATAAAACATTTTTCCTTAAATTAGGATTTTTTGTATCTTTAAGATTTGCTATCCTGCTGCGCACTCTATTTTTATATTTCATGTCAGTATTTTTTAGCTCCTGAAATATAGGTGTTTATGAATTAAGGAAATAATGTGAAAAGGGCAGAATTGATTTATTTTACAAATACTTGACCACATTTTATAATTGCCTATTTTTAATTAGAGAATACAGTATTATATGTAGAATATTAATTAAATAGATAGTAGCCACAAACTATCAAGTTTGTCTTGCTTACATGAATTAAATATGCACAAAAGCAATATGCTATTTTAATGGTATGATATTTTAAAATATTTTAATAATCTCAGCTAACTCAAAGGCATGTATACACTTTGTCCTGTATTAACAAAATCCATTAATATACACAACATTCTAAAGATATTTTAACAAAAATATATCCTCTTTTTACCACACAATTTATTTAAAATGTTACCTGATCTAAAATACTTTTCTGTATTCAATATTTTATAAACATGTAAGTATATTAATGAACACAATACAGACTGATGTAAACAACTATAGGAGCCCACAGAAAATTAAAGAAGAAAATATTATAAAAGAGGTTAAGAATTAAACTACAGAATAAGGTAGAATGTTCATTATATAACAAAGGATATCTTCTTCAATCTGAGAACCTAGTTCTTCCTCATCAGCACCAATAGCAATATAATCATCTGAAAAATAAATTAGTTGGGAATCAGTTTTACATACATATATTCAGATGCAAATAAAATTGTGTTTAGTAAAATGTGCTCCTAAGTAAATTATACAATACTCTAACTGCAGTGGATTCTCTCCACATCTAGACAGTATCATAAAAACAAGACAGAAAAAAACCAAGTACAAAAATAACTAAAATAATCACTACTAGCTGGCTATCCAAACAACAATTCAAACATAAAACAGCACAAACTAGGGGAGTACCATCCACCCTACCCCAAGACCCGAGTAAATAGATTTTCAACGCCTTCTGGAACATCAGGGTGGGAAGCATATGGATGTCAGGGATGACCTCATTCCAGAAGGCAGGCACCCCTACAGAGCAAGTGAACTTCCTAGGTATTGAAAGAGGAAACCATTTCATTGATGTGACCCAAAGCACATCACTCTGCAACATTGTATCAGATGGATAGAAAGTGAAGAAGACAGGTAGCTTAGGCCCTATACCATGTATAGGGTTTTAAAGATAATAATGAATGTTCCATTTGGATCCTTAATTGGTCAAACTCTGTGCTATTTATTTCTAGAACTGAAAGAAAGTGAATTCTTTCAATTCTCTCTTTCATTCCCCCTTTGAATTAGAAATTATTAACTTTTTAACACTTTTCACAGTGAAGACATCCATATGATATTAACTGGTCCAAGACATTTCACTGGGTTACTTTTCCACTGTCATTTTTCACTTCATTTCTCCACTGCTTTTTTTGTGTAACTTGTAACTTTAGATCAGTAAAAGGCTTTCTAGAGTACTGACACAAGACATCTCCTTATGTAATATCAAATGTGTATCCAATCTACTTGTTGTAAATTCAAAATTGCAACAATTATTAGTTCAGAGCTAAGAGTAATAACTTAAGGCCATTCTCAAAAAGAAATTACATGACAGATTCACAGCAACTAAAAATAATGAGCACACATACTGCAATATATAGTGGATCCTCTAAAAAATGTTTTTCACCATGCACTTAATATCTTCTTATAGCAGGATTCTTAATAGCCTTGCATTTTGTATTAAATAAAAGTAGAAAGAAAATATGGGGTAGAATGAGAAGTATAGTAGTATAATTCTTACCCCCCGTTTTGAGAGCTGCTGCCAACATTTCTCTGCATTTCATCCGTACAGAATCAGATGTGCTTGGAGCCCGGGGAAAAGAAGAGATATATGTGTCGGATGAAATGTTAGAGTCCTCTTTCTTGCTGTTTGAATTGCTACTGGAACTGCTAAATAGGCAAACAGACAAATACTTTTTTTTTTGTTCTGTTTCATTACGAATCAGCAGTACCCATAAGGGATGGATCAAAAAAGATAAGTTGGACCCACAACACTGCTTTTACTGATCAAATGACCCTTTTAAATATCTAAATCTACTCTAGACACAAAATAATTTCATAAAAAATAGTAGTAACAAGTACTACTGCCTTTTATACAGTACTGTTAACTTGAAAATATTACTTCCTTGATTCCTACCGATCTTGTAAAAGTATCATGGAACATTAATTCATAATACTAACTGAAAGAAAATAACACACTGGATGGCTACTGGTGAATCAAATCTTATAAAACTATAACATTACTAGACAGCACTATGATTCACTGGTATAATATAGGCATCAATATTATTCCAAATCAAATCTTCCCATCAAAATTCCCTAACAATGAACAAATCCTATAGTATTAAATATATTTCCATTTATATAATGAAGTTCATAAATGCAGAAATAAATATTTCATCAATGCCAAGTATTAAAATAATACAAAAACAGTGATTATTTCTCACTTAAATATTCCAATCTAAACTGACAGGATTTCATCTAACCAAATGTTAAATGTACCTGTACATGGTATAAAACTATTTTGTAATCTTTTTTTCATATATTCTTTCATCATGTCCTTTAAAAATTACCCTTGAGTTTGTACACTATTTTTCCTACTATTTTTCTCATCCTAATGTTTACAATCTTAAAGAGTTAATGTTAGTTTTTTTCTACCATTTAAGCAAAAAGGTTATAAGAAATACCTTTCTTCCCTTGCTTCAGGACTATTTTGTGAAGATGATGCTGATTCTTTTTTCTTTTCTTCAGATTCTTTGTCATTTGATGGTCCATCTAAAATGCATATGTAATACATAAAAAGCAATAATAGTTCCATTGATGAAATAAGGGAATGCCAATCCAAGATAAATAAAAGTTTAGGGAGTCCCTGCCTGCAATGAATAAATTTAAGTAATTAATTAATTATATCTGATTAATTAATCAATTAGCTTTATAAGAACAGGCCAGATAAATCTTCGCTTCCTCTTCTTCCCCTTTCTGTTTTGCCCTTTATGTAGCCATTTCATTCTACTTAACTACTGTCTAGTTTTGTCTAATCTCAAAATGTCACTTAACACTATGCATAACTGAAACTTGCCAACAAACATCAAGAGGCACAATCAGCTTTTCTAATTCTTTATATAAAAATGAAAATAATTTTGTCATCACAAAGCACATTCAAAGGAAAGGAGAGCTCCATGCTGCTATTTTCTGAAACTATATCTATTCTTTTCCACAGATAGAAAAATTAGCATTTTTTTCTCATGGAGAGAAAGTGTAGCTAGAAAGGGGATACGTATGTCAGAAATAAATCTGTGAGTAAAAGTGTTACATTCCTCTCTCCCAATATAGCAACTCTGAAATAGCTCACTGAACTCCTCTCCCTATGGCACCCTTTAAATAGGGATGAAATTTTGGATTCATAGTAGTTTAAAATATGGGGCAAATAAGGTAGGGAATAAAACCAAGAAAAAACTAATCACAGGAAAACTCTTAAAGACAGAAATATGTATTATTAATTTAAGGAATCAAGAATCCAATGAAAAGATAGATGTTGGATTACAAAGGAAATAATTATTCCATGAACATTATGTTCCCCATATGTTATGGTATACAATTTACACCATTCCAGTTATAGGCTAGCTAAGATCCTTGTCATTCACATCAAGCTGGAAAATTATAGATTGCAAGATAGATTCATCAGCATTGTTTAATCCAAGATTCTTTTTTTAAGTTTAGTGAAAGGGTACTGTAGTAAGAATAGTTTCAAATAGGTTTCTATAGTTTACTGATCCATCTTCAAAATGCTGTGTTATTAATTAGATTGTTATCTTTCTTACGTATAGTTTCCTAAATATATTAGATTATATTTTAATACTTTGTTTATATTTTAAGTTTTCACTATAGCCTCACTGCATTATGTTTGAAGTAAATTTTTAAAAGAGCATACATTTTGAAATGCGCTTTTCCCCATGCTTCAACCATTCTCAACTGTCTAACACACATAATAAACTACTTGAGAATTTTCCAGGATACCCATCCTCCACACCCGCAAACATATTCCTCAGATCAACTAAGCAGTTAGTAGCATGTAGAATGACCAAGAAGGAATAACTCTTAAGTTATGCTATAGTTTCATTCATCACCACAGGCAAAAATCATAAGGAGAAACTGGATATTAAATTAAATACAAGATCAAGTAAAGGAGTTAATATTAAGATTAATTTGAAAATCATCTAGAAATGAGAAAATGAAAAAACTTAGTGCATCTGTACCTAATAATTTTTTCCATGATTTAATGAGGGATTTTGCTAGAGATGTAATTTCTTCATCTGTACTTTGTTTCCGGATTGCATTCACAGACATTCCAATTCTTGTAGACTGAAAATTAAACAGTTAAGATCATTAATAACAGGTATTTGCAAGATGAAATATATATGCCATTAAATCACCCCTCCTAAAAATACATTGAAATAGTTATTGGTTGTGGTAAATATAAGAAGTTTTTTAATCTCTTATCAAATAGTTATTTAAATTTCTAGCTGAGGTTATGGTGATAGATAAATGATATAAGATTTCTATATTTTCTTAAACATAAAGTATTAGCATAACAATGCAAGTTATTTCAAGCAGATTGATAAAACTTTAGGAACACTTTTATGATAAGAAAAATATTACATTTTACTTAATTAATTTATGGCTATGGTATGATAGAGGTTAACTTTCCCGATTTTTAGCTGTATAGTTGTGCATAAGTTTCCCTTTCAATTTCTTTGTGAAATAAAACTGAGATGGAGACTTGAGTCTGACTTACAGTAGTGGCCAAAATTGTGGAAACCTTTTGGGAAAAGTGTATTTTTGAGGTTTGATGGATAATAATACCACTTTTTTTTGGAGTAGTACCATAAAATTATATATCAATGGAAAGATAATTTAATCAAGCATGTAATGCAACATAGTTTGTTCAATTATCTGTACTGTATTCTATGAAAAGTTATAGCCAAATAACCAGAAAAAGGAAGCACAACTTGCTTAGGTTGATGTCAGGTAGCTTTCCTTCATCTGATTGTAGCCAATGAGCATGAGTGTTTTTAGAGAGCCAACCAGGTGTCATCTTGTTTTGGCAATGAGCCAATCAGATCACAGTAGGACTCAGTTATTGATGTCATGTATTGAAGCTGAGAGGAGGACATTTGTCAGTGTGTTACGCGATCACTATCAAGTTGGTTGGGTTTGTTTTTTTTTTCATTTAGTGAGCTTGTAAAACGTAATAAAATTAAAGTAATGGTGTAAAGAGTTGACTGGTTGCCCAGAAAACTATGTAAAATAGTATTATTAAGCGAACAAGGCTACAGTTATAAAGAAATTAGAAGAAAAATTGGTGGAAACTTAACCAAAGGTGGCATTTCTACTGTACACTTTTCCCAAAAGGTTTCCACAATTTTGGCCACTACTGTATTTCTTACACGCAGCAGAACCTGTTTATGTGATTTCTTTTTGTGTTTTTTTCTTTTTCTTCTTTTTATATATTTTCAAAATAAAGCATGCTGATCTACTACCCTCTATTGTACTAGAAAAACGTTTATAAGGAATTCTTACAATTGAACAGCCATTGTTCATAGTTAAAAAGTTAATACTCAATTGCCAATGTTTACACAAATTTGTTCTTTTTAAATTCTATCTTATCCATTCTACTTGTAATAAAAATAACAAATTAAAAATCCTTTTCTGTTAATTATGGGCATGTGTGTTCTGGAGCTAATGATTTTATGTACACACATCAGTTTAGAATACTGATTTCTCACATGTTTGCACAACATAACTATAACTATTTTTTATTTACATTATTAAACATGAATATTTATAAGACTAGTAAGAAAATAGATATCTTAAATGAATTTTATACTTTCACTCCCTTCAAAAAATCAGATTCCCTGATCACCTCATCTGCAATTTCAGTTTGCCGAGGTGACAAATCTCTTCAAAGTGATACGATGAGGTAACTACAGTAGCTTTCTCTTAAATATCTTATGAAAGATAGATTCACATCCTGATTTTATGAAAAATTAGATATCCTTTTTATATACATATTTTTATCACCTTTCTACATTTTGTGGAATAATATTTTTATTTTTTATACTTTTTAATATATATATTTTTAGTTACCCAGAGTCACTGAAAGTTAAGTAGCATATAAATGTATAAATAAATAAATGCTAGATATGAAGCTCAACCATATCTTAATACAGGATATACAGGTAATCCTCAACTTACAACAGTTCATTTAGTGATTGTTCAAAGTTACATCACTGAAAAAAATGACTTATGACCATTTTTCACAGTTATGAGTCATATTTAAGACGGTTGCAGTGTTCCCAGGTCATGCAATCACCTTGTGCGACCTTCTGACAAGCAAATGGGGAAGCAGATTCACTTTTAACATCTGTGTTACTAACTTAAGAACGGCAGTGTTTCACTTAATAACTTTTGCAAGAAATGTCATAAAATGAGGCAAAACTCACTTAACAAATGTCTCACTTAGCAACAGAAATTTCAGGCTCAATAGTGGTCGTAAGTCAAGGACTACTTGCATAAGCATCATAAATCTACTAGCAAGATGCAATAATCATAATCAAAAATATGTTTCCTTATCAATACATTTATAGCCTTTATGTTTGAATGAACATCTGACAAATCACTTTCTCTTTGTAAGGAATCCAAAATATCACACTGATGAATGTTAGCTTCTGCATCTCTGTGTTTATAGCATAAACAACTTCAGTATTTTCAGGGGGAAAAAAGCATACCTGTAAAAGTTCCAGAGTCATAGGCATATTCTTAAGTTCCTTGAGTAAATCAAGAGCCCCACCCTGTAAAACACATTAAATATTAAATATACCTATTGCTATGTACTTATTTCATTCATCTTCAAATCTATAATATAAATGTTAGTGAAAATGATACTAATAAACATTTGAAAAAGATTTATTCATGTTTGCTCCAAGAACAATGGACAACTCTTCTCATTAGATTTGTAAGATTTGAAAAATTTGCTTCTCTAGCAACATGTTAGACTTGACTATTAAAAGAAATATCCTGGTGGAAATTATGAAATAGAACTGATTTATGAATGATTTAATCGAGTATAACTACAATATATCAAAAGGACATATTTGCATCAACTTCATTCTTGCTACACAGAATTTTCCTTCTGTTGAAAGAATAAACTTCTTTTTGCTGAAAGAGTTTTAAAAAACTATCAGTTAATGTCAACTTTATATTTACATCACAACTATTGAACACTGAATCACCCCAGAACTATAAAAAAAAATCCATCCAAGAAAGGCATGGATTAGACAGTTCCCGTCAGATTTTAGCTTCACATCACATACATTTTATTACTGAAAGTAAGGAATTCTTGTGATAGGAAAGTATAAATAAAATGTCTTTAAAGCAACCCATCCTCAGGACCCATGAGAATTTAACCAGTTAGTAAGACTTCTCCACTTAGTACCCCAACAGATACAACTCACGTTTCCATATACAAAGAGCCCAAACTAAACTCCATGCTTCACCACTTGGAGGAATCTAGTTTGGTTTGGCAATTTAAAGTCTAAGTCTAGAAATTGGGTAACCGTTAGTTCTAGTCTTGTCTTAGGCATGAAGCCAGCTGGATGACTTTATCATTGAGACACTTTATCATCTCAGCCCTAGTAAACCTTCCAAAAAATATTGCCAAGAAAACTGCAAAGACTTGTCCATGGAATCACCAGGAGCCATGAATGACTTCATGAAATGAAATGTCTTTCCCAAACACACTAATCCTCAATGCTCTCTTGGAAAAAGTTAGGCATTCTGCTTTATTACATTATCTAGATTCTAGCCACTTGTTATGCTTACTAGGGCCACAGCCTTACTACATAAAATACAACACGTTTTGCCCATTATACTGAAGCTGCAAGTATAAGTATATATTCAGTTCCATAATCTCCCATCTTGGGGATAGGGGGAGGAGGTGTATTAGCACAGCATTCAGATAGATTTTTTTCCTTTTTCTCTTATTCTATCCAAGTTATCCAGGTTATCCAAGTTGAGAAATTGTCTATTTATTTGCTGTTTTTCTTTTCTACTCTCCCATACATAAAGCATTCATCTCATATACAATCCAGTGGTTAGCATTAGTAACCAAATTTTTCTATGATGCTTTTCCAAGAAATTATGTATATGCCCTGTATCTTTGCATACCATATGATAGAGTTTATCTATTATGTCTATCACATTTATAATTGTGTGCTATTTTTAATTGTTTTTATTCTGTTTACAAATAATATGTAAGTTGCTTGGTCAAAAATAACTGGTATAGCATACAAGCCTAGAAAAACAGGTAAAAATGTTATGCAGGAAGTGAAGAAGTTGCCCCTCCAAAGACCAGGTCATAAGGAATACCATATAGTCCATAAAATCACTAAAATTTTCACTAAAATCTAAGACACTACAACCATCATAAATATATGCCTGTTACCAAGCCTTCAAGTTTTGATAATGTGACTATGGGGTGCTGCAACAATCATAAAAGGGAAAAAAGATTATAAGTCACTTTTTTCAATACTGTTGTAACTTTGAGTGGTCACTAAACAAGTAGCTGTAAGTCAAGGACTACCTGTATATTACTAAACTGATTTTCTTTTCTTAAGCATTTCTGACAGCAAATCTCAATTAATTTCAAGATAACATTTCTAAGAAACTGAAGCCATCTACCTGAAATACAACTGTAAAACAGGCATTAAAATTCAAAAATACCTTCTAAACACTTTCTGAACAAAAATACTTCTGCACAATACAGAAAGTTCTTTCATTAATTTGCAAAAATTTAACCTATACAAAATATGTCTAAAAGGACAAAAATATTAACTTCCATTGTTATTGCAGCCCTCTTCCCTTATTAAATACAAAAGCTACCCACGTGTGGACAGTGTGATGGGAAGCATATAATTTAAATAAACAAATCAATATTTTTGACTGGTTTCAGTCATGACCTTGAAGTATTTAGTGGCTTGCCACAATAGACGTGTTTATCTCATATTTAAAGATATCCTCATTCACATATGTTTATAGTATTGATTACTTACTTGATTTTAATACATTGTTCTACAATATTTACAAAATAGATGTCACTACTGATTGCCAAGACATTGTTCTTTATCCTGGTGTTCTCAGAACTCTCAGTCAGCCTATGGCAACTCCCCACAGGAGCATATAATAAAAAACAGAACAGTTCTAAGACTGCAGTAGGGATATATGATCTGTAGATTATTGAGTTCATGGGCCTCCAAACTTTTATGATAGCTAAGTCCCTAAAATATTACAAATGCCCCTCCCCCAAAAAACAAACCTCTGCAGCAAAAGATAAATTTACATATCAAACAGAACCCTAACCAGGAATTTATATGACATTATTGCTTATGAGTCTTCAAATTTTGATCCTTAATGTTAAAAAAAAATGATGATAAAGTCTGGTGGTGTAATACAGGTAATCCTCGACTTACAATTGAGCCCAAAATTCCATTGCTAAGCAAGGTAGTTGTTAAGTAAGGTTTGCACATTTAACAATCTTTTTGCCACAGTTTTTAAGCAAATCACTGCAATTGTTAAGTGAATTATGTGTTCATTAAGCGAATCTGGCTTGCCCATTGACTTTGTTTATCTGAAGCCACGTGGGAAGGTTGCAAATGATGATCACAAGACCCTTGTGCAGTTGTCTTAAATACACACCAGTTGGCAAGCACCCAAATTTGGAACATATGCCCATGGTGATGCTATAATGGTCATAAGCATGAAAACCTGTCATAAATCCCATTTTTTAGTGCCACTGTAACTTTGGTCACTAAACAAATATTTGTAAATTGAGGACTATCTGTGTTCTAGAAGATTTCCAATCTTAGCAACTAAATAATATCACACAAGCATTAGCAACACAAGCTCATTATATGGTCTAGCAGCTCAAATGCTTTACTCATAAGGAGAAACTAAAATCAAGTTGTATACCTAAATGCTAGTCCAGAATGTGATAATCTTTTATGGGAAAATTCCAAATAACAGTTCTGTTCAGAATGAACTTATAATATGGCCTAAGTATACATGAAGCCATAGTTTACATTGTTAACTCTTCTCAGATAGACTGATCACATGCCCTATTTCTTAAGTTTCTACTAAACCTATTGGGGCACAGTAAATTTATCAACACTGAAAACAATCTTACATTAATCAGTCTCTTAGGTCACATCCATTATTCCACAGATACTCTATACTGGCAAGCAATGGTCTCCAGGATTATATGGAATTTTTTTCCAATTACATACAGAGCTGCCAAGGATCAAACCTATACGCTAGTATGTGCTTTATGACTGAGCTATAATTCAGGCTTAATGTATCAGGAATTTAGAACTGGAACTTTAAGCATACATTGTGGGGGAAAGGAAGATTCTACTGAAAAATTTCTAAAACCTGTGCCTGAATCCAATAGGAATTCTCCCTCCTTTTCTCTCTCATATTTTCATTTATATTATCATCATAAGGTATGCTAATTGGGAGCCAGGTTTCACTAAATTTGATGGGTCTTATCTTTCTTTATAATTCACAAGATTAAAAATCAGCTATAACTGAATATCTTTTTTTGGAAGTATAATTATGTTAATTTAGCATGGAAAATAACAGATAGGGAAACTAAGCACATAGAACTAACTGATGGTAATTTATGAACTTTGAAAATAATTCTATCATTTGTATTTTAAGGTTTGATGTAAAACTACTCAATGACACATGACAATAGTTCATTATTACTCTTTTTTAAAATACCGCTAAAATACTGTATGATTCTACACTACAAGTCTTAATCTATACACAGAGGTATTGCTGTCAATAATAGATAAAACACTTTTGTGCCTACTCAAAACCAATTTCTATTAAATTAAATATTTATCTCAGGTTTGTGAGTATAGAACTGCAGCATAATGCACATGGAAAAATATTTAGTACACTGATTCTATATCTAATAATAGGAAAAGCTACTGCTTACCTTTTCTTGTCTAATCTTACTCAACTGCTCTTGATTTTTGAATATCCACATGTGCAACTTTACCTCTGTCAACTTGAACCTATTCATTACACAATAAGGTAATTCATTACACTAAATATACTATAAAAGCATTAATAGTTACTAATATCACTATAATAAAAGCAAATATAACCTTAACAATGCCACCATATCATGGTTCAAGCAGCTTAAAAGACTCAAATGTAAATGGAAAAATATCTGACTGCACAAATCTGCATATTAAATCCATACTAACATAAAGAATATGAGAGATCTTTGGTCAAAAGTTCATTTTAATTAATAGCATAAACTTCTTACACTAAACATAGCGGCAAGGCTGGCTTTGCTCTAAAATTCATTGTATGTATGTGTGTATGTATTAAATAAAAAATATTTTACAAATAGTATTTCTTTGTGCAATATCTCCAATTTTATCTTTTCTGCAAGTAACTATATTGAAAATAAACTCAACATGCATAAGGTAGAGTTGTAATTATCTCCAGCTAATGTTTTTATAAAGTTTGTGATTTTCATGTAGCTTTGCATCTGAGTATTTTTATGGTTTTGGTAACGGAACCAAGAAGTTTTTTCTTGGTAGTCACAGAACACTTTTCCTATACAACGTAAATTACATATTTCTTAACAACACCAAAATCTGAATTCTTCAAATATACTTCTTCACTTCACAGTTGGAACTTGAGATTGCTCAGAGATGCAGGAAGCTTTAGCTTAGCAATATATAAAATCCAGAGGCTCCTCTCTCTGGAATAGGTAATGCTGTTTTAGATTAGTGTTTTAAACTTACAATTATTTAAGGTTATATCTTATAATAATATATAGTGTGGACAGCATTTTGAATCAAAACTTTTGTTTATTGTAAATAAACATTACAATAAAACATTTTCAGATTTCAATTCCACACACAGTAGCAATTCAGTGAAGTCTACTGCACCATTTAAATTTTAACATGTTTAGAAACAATCTCAATGGATGCTCAAATTTACAGCTGATAAAAGAACGCAGTATAGTGAATTACAACTGCAAAACGGAAGTCTGATATATTCTTATACGGTAAGTGTCTTCAAGACATTTTTGACTACAGATCCCATAACTCCATATAACCAGAAAAGTCACATCGTCTTCGGGAAAAGGAGAAGAGGGGCTGGCATCGCATTCTTAAAGAGAAAAGTAGCATAGGTCTTAAGGATAGAACAGCTTTCCAACAAAAATGAACCCCATAACATTAATCTGGTTTTAAAACTCAGCGAGCCTTCGATTCTCTTGGAAGCTCCAGTGGGATCCAATTTTCGATTTTCCGGAAGTGAAGAATTGGGCCTTTCTCCAGGGCAATAAATGCAGCCAGAGGACTCTTTCTCTGAATTTGAATGCGACATACGACTACGGCTCATTACAAACCAGAACTGGCCCAGACACGGAGATTAGGTCCCGTCACGCGAACTGCGCTTTCCACAGATGACAGCTGGAACATCACAAAAGAGGAACTGCGTGCGAACGAAGCCTGCCCTCCATTAGCCCCTTATTTATCCCCCCCTCTGGAAAAAGGCGGGCGCCCCGTTGATGTGCAGCGCCGCTGATTGGTCGGACAGAAGTTTAAGACGGGCGCGCGAGGGGGCTAACGGACATTTCTCCCTCCTTCCCGATTGACCTCACCGCGTTCTTCTTCTGCACCATCTTGTCCATCTTCTTAGCGATGCGGATGATTTCATCTTCAGTGCTCATGGCGGCTGCCGGGTCCGCGGCGGCGCCTCTCTAAGGGGCGACTGAGCAGAAGTGAGCTTCAACCTTCGATGCTGCTTCTACGCCACGAATGCCGAAGCTTTCAGCGCAAAGCAAAGATGGAGCCGCCAAATCAGTGTCGGGGTCGCTGTGAACATCAACCGGCCAGGAGCGACAGCTCGGCAGCCGTGGCGCCAGGCCTTGCTGATCAAGCCTCGGTAAAGAGAGCCAGGCAATGCTCCGGAAAACCGAAAACATCGATTAAGGGTAAAAATAGGAGGTGGAGCTTCGTCTCACTTCAGACTTCCGTCCGCTCAGCGGAAATGGAGGGTTGAGCTCTGCGTGGGGAGGGAGGGAAGAAGAGATGGTCGTTGGCCGAAAATGACGCAGAGGTAAAATCTTTGTTACTTTGTAACCTCAGGACCGGTGGCTGTGAGTTGTTCCGTCTAGGCCAAGCGTAGGCAACCTCGGCTCTTTTATGACCCATGGACTTCAACTCCCAGAGCTGACTCAGGAATTCTGGGAGTTGAAGTCCATGAGTCATAAAAGAGCCGAGGTTGCCTACCCCTGGTCTAGGCAAATGGAAAAAAGGAGAAGCAGTGGTTGCGATCTCGAGGAGGTAATATAACTCTAATATTATTTATGTAGGCTTGAAGTACCTCCAGGTTATTGGACTAGAAAACTCTCAGCATGCCCAAATAATGACTGGAGTTTGCAGTCCAATTTATTTGGAAGGCTATGGATTGGAAAGACTTGTCAAAGAGAAATGTATCTTCAAAGATCCAAGAATTTCCTGAACTTAAACTCTGTACAGTAGTTTGCAAATTTGCTCGTTTATATACTGCTTTTTTGTCCTTATTGAATTAAAGGTAGAAAAACTCTAAAAAAGTATTTTAGAACAACCATGGTTGCAATCTTCTTTGTAGGATATAAAACTGATTGATAACTGAATGAAAAGATGGATTTATATGTGTAGTAATTCTACTTTCCATTGTAAACTGTAATAAAATATTTTTCTGACAAAGCTTCTGCCTCTGAACTCATTTTATTATTCTTGTGAAATGTATGATACCAGAAAAAAACTACTGCAGAAGATTAAGGTTCACAAAGTATCTGTAGTTTTATTTTTGCAACAAGAACACATGCTACAAAATAAATGCATCTTTTACTTACAGTGAGGAGAAAAAAATATTTAATCCCCTGCTGATTTTGTACATTTGCTCACTGACAAAGAAATGACTAATCTATAATTTTAATGGTAGGTTTATTTTAACAGTAACAGAATAACAAAAAAATCCAGAAATACTCATTTCAAAAAAAATATAAATTGATTTGCATTTTAATGAGTGAAATAAGTATTTGACCCCTTCACAAAGCATGACTTAGTACTTGGTGGCAAAACCCTTGTTGCAATCACAGAGATCAAATGTTTCTTGTAGTTGGCTACCAGGTTTGCACACCTCAGGAGGGATTTTGTTTCACTCCTCTTTGCAGATCCTCTCCAAGTCATTAAGGTTTTGAGGCTGACGTTTGGCAGCTCAAACCTTCAGCTCCTTCCACAGATTTTCTGTGGGATTAAGGTCTGGCCTCTCTAGGCCCTTATGCTCATTCTGGAATTCCCATCCAAGACCCATTTTCAATGCCCTGACTGAAGGAAGGTCTTACCCAAGATTTGACAGTACACGGCCCCATCCATTGTCCCTTTGATGCGATGAAGTTGTCCTGTCCCCTTAGCAGAAAAACACCCCAAGCAAAATGTTTCTACCTCCAGCATTCGTCCTCCTAACATGGCGAGTTGAGTTGATGACAAAAAGCATCCCCCAGTTCTCTGAATCATTCAGATGTTCATTAGCGAACTTCAGATGGGCCTGTACATGTGCTTTCTTGAGCAGGGGGACCTTGCGGGTGCTATAGGATTTCAGTCCTTCACAGCAGTGTTATTGTTTTCTTGGTGACTATGGTCCCAGCTCCCTTGAGATCATTCACAAGATCCTCCTGTGTAGTTCTGGGCTGACCCCTCACTATTCTCATGATAATTGAAACTCCACAAGGTGAGATCTTGCATGAAGCTCCAGACTGAGGGAGATTGAGTTATTTTGTATTTCTTCCGTTTGCAAATAATCACACCAACTGTTGTCACCTTCTCATCAAGCTGCTTGGTGATAGTCTTGTAGCCCATTTGAGCCTTATGTAGGTCTACAATCTTGTCCCTGACATCCTTGGACAGCTCTTTGGTCTTGGCCAAAGAGAGTTTGGAATCTGATTAAGAGAGTGCTCCTAATCTCAGCTCATTACCTGTATAAAAGACACCTGGGAGCCAGGAATCTTGCTGATTGATAGGGGATCAAATACTTATTTCACTCATTAAAATGCAAATCAATTTATAACTATTTTGAAATGTGTTTTTCTGGATTTTTTTTTATTCTGTCACTGTTAAAATAAACTTACAATTAAAATTATAGACTGATCATTTCTTTGTCAGTGAGCAAATGTACAAAATCAGCAGGGGATCAAATACTTTTTTCCCTTACTGTATCATGGAATTAACTGATTTTTTTTTTGTATCTATACTTGCTTGTGCGTGTTTATAACTCAGTTTGAACTATGTGTTCAAATTTAAATATGATCATTTACAATGGTTACTTTGTTGATACACTAAGTCACACAACCAAGATTTGTAGCCAAATTTTAAAGAAACCCATCTTTTATTATTAGTTTATGGTTTGGTAATCTAGACAGCATGAAAATGTGCCAAACAAGTAATGATTTACGTAACAATCGATAAATGTATAGCATAAATGTAACTAATTGTAATATAATGCTCTCCCCAAGCCTTAGCATTTTGCATCAGCTGAATGGGATGATACTGACTCAACTTAAGTTTATTTTTATCCTGCTTAAAAGCAATCTAAGGCGGTGAACACATCTTTCTCATTGTATTTTCCCTGCAAAAACAACCCTGTGAGGTAGATTGGGATGAGAGAGTGTAACTGGTCCAAAGTCACCAGCTGGTTTCCAGGTTAAGATGGGACTTGAACTCATGGTCTCCCGCTTTCTAGTGCCTTAACCAGTAGACCACACTGGCTCTCTTTGGTTTATGATATCTATTAATATGCTACATATGTTGCTTAAGATCTTTTAGGTATCTGAAGGCATGCCTGTTATACATGAAACACAAACAATTGGAAAAACTATTTTATTGCAATGAGCCTGATCATTAAAGTATCTTAGTGAAAAGTATGAATCCAAATATTGATTCTCATGCTGCACTTAGTTTTTTTAAAATTGTAACTATACTGTTACTATATCTCTTAAATGAACAATTTATCATTTTTCTTATTTATAATGTAGAGATGCATATAAGGGATGCAACATTTGTTATACAAGATTTGTTTCATTCATTGATTGTTCAGAATTTATTCACAGTTAACAGATTACAATTTCCATCTCAGATGTTTCCAATAGATTTCTTTCCGTAAACATAGTATAAAATCAAAGTGTTATCTTAGCTATGAACCTCCTAAAATGTAAGATAAAGAAAAGCCAAATTGTTTATAAAATACTCCAACCTGAACATATGGCTTCATTTACATCCTATACATACTTTCTGGAAACAATATTTGACAATCAATAGCACCTATTTATTAAAAAAATGCATTTAGAATTTACTGAAGTGCAATACACTTCCTAAGGCAAACATTCAATTAACAGACCAGAAATTCATGTTAGAATAGAATACACCTTCAGCAATAGAGTACACCTTCACTGCAATGAACACTGTATTTCAAGATAAACTAAAAAGTAACCCTATCAGGATGAAAATCCTGATGAATCTATTAGATTTGCTTCAATTGTCACAGCATGATATAATACAATAAAGAGTGGCAATTTTATTTAAACATTCCAATTAAAAACAATTTAATATTTAACACTCTTAAAGTTTGATTGTTTAGCAAAGTATTGTACGTCAGATTCCAAAGTATACTGAACTTTATTTGGAGACTACTATATTCTGATGTCAGTAGTTCCATGTAAAGTTTTTTAAGTTAAAAAAATGAGATTAATCAAAGTTTTGGTTTGTTTTGCATTTCTGATGTTTAAGAGAAGAACTGAAGCAGTTATCATTGTATAATAAATATTTTAACATTACTTTCTGTTAAGTCAATTTTCTAAAATCTTACATGTTATCGCTTATAAAAAAACCTCTCTGAATACTGTCAAAATGCTTTTTTCTTGGAGCCAGCATCTGTGTAAGCAACTAGTCTCCAATAAAAACAAAACTGATAAAATCATACTGTTCCCATATTCAAGTCCTATGTACACAAACTCTTGCAGAGATTCCTATAATTAAAATAGCTCAGAGACGCTTTCAGTACAGAAACATTAACTTCTTTCATGGGCCAAATTCATTCATCAGAATCCACATTTTAAAATATTGTTTCAGGCTGCAATAGGGAACAAATTATGTTTCCTTGCTTTCCAAATTCCATCATATAACAAATAAATAAAGAGTAAGCCAAATGAAACCTCCATGATATTGGCAATACACACCAGAAAAAAATTTACAATTTGAACTTAGGTATTCCAAACACAGCTTTCTTGCCCAGTTCTGCTGATATATAGATTGCTCTCCGTTTAAAGGTCCAGCAAGGATCAAGAAACATGATGCCAGAACATAGACAAAAGTGTCAAAGGGCATAATTATCTGCTCCACCAATTAATAACTGCAATTACATTTTTAATTCTGTATTTAAGTGCTTATCAGTTGCAGATTTAATGAGGCTCCATGTCTCCTTAAATAAAATCATATTAATGAATAGAAGAAACTTTAGAAAGTGCCATTTCACCATCAATAACATAGTAGCAAGAATGATGCTGAAAAAAAATCAGCAAAATATTGGGATATGATGAATGGCCTGAAAGAGAAACAACATAACCAATTTTCTCCACACATACAATACTGACTACCAAACCTCTAGCTGCACTATTTCTAAAGGATTCTTACGCTTATGCTATAAAATTGAGGATTTGTTTTATTTCTATATGTATGCAAAGTACACATAGAAGTAATATGAATGTATAGATTTAGCTGTGTATATGTACAAAAGTTGGAACTTCTGCAGGAAGGTGCATTTATTTGAAATAAAATTTCAAGTCTTATTAAATATTTAGATGGAAATTTTTCATGACAAGGGTGAAGTTGTAGTACCTTGTTTCTGAATAACCTGATCCAGGGACGTTGAAAATGTTGCTTGCACAAACTGTTCCATGAATAGAACAGCTAGTTTGCAGTGCCCTACACCAAACTGAACCAGGCTTTGTTAATCGGTGGAGGAGGAAACAACAGAAAAAAGCCAAGGCTGAAGGGTTGCCTTGGTGATGGCATACTGGATATCAGTTGCAACTGAGGAGAAAGAGCAAAGTGCTGGAAAAATACTCTAGGGTGGGTGGAAGAGGCAGCAGTATGATATGCCATTCTGAGTATCAGCAGTAGTGGCTGAAGGCAGGCCATAGGAAGAGCAAGGAGATGGCAGCAAAGCATATATGTCTTGCTGAGGAGGAAATAATGTACACCAGTCTTATTCTAACTTTCTCCCAAAAGCTACTCTGGTATCCCTCCAGATTTTGTTTTTAACAACCAAACATTTCTGCTGAGCTGTAGTTAATTTAGAACAGTTTAACCAAATTTTCACACAGTGATCTTTTTCAGGTTTAAAATATACTGTAATACTGTATGCTTTGTATGCACCCCTTCTCTTGTCTCTTATGTCAATTGATTGTGCAATGCTTTAACCAACAACCTTGGTTTCTTTTTTGGAGCAGAACAAGTTAAGACAAATATATACAATACATTTTCTGATTTTGATTTTTTAAAAATTAGCTACTTAGAAGAGCTTTTGAAAGCTCAAATTTTGCAATATATTAAAAATTCTAATGATTTTTATTATATTCTATGTGACATCTATGTCTAAATTTATCTCAGTAAGGGACAGCTGAATGAGAAACATTTGTTATAGAGATAAATACTTTTTCAAAGATTCTAAGTAGCAGGGCACACACTTCAGTTACAATACTGTATTTCTCCAAGGTGTAGGGATAATTTAAAGACTTGAGTCTTATCTTGGACATGCAATAATATTGGTTAAATGTGAACGTTAAGAATACTCTTTCTACTACTGCATGCTTAGTTTTATATACTGCATATACAAGTGTCAATTTATCTAGTAATATAACAGGATTTGGAAAACAATTTTGTTCTGAATTATAAAAGGGCTCCATAACTTTAAATTTGGAATGATTTAGCAAGGAAGAGAATACCTAATTATATTCCTACATGCCTTTCCACTGCCATATATCTATGTTATGGCCAATGGGATTTAAAAGTATTGTTTCTCACAAAGTTATAGTTTCTAATCTTTGCAATACAGTTAACACTGTAGGCACAGAGATGCTTTAGAAATAGCTACATGAAAAAACAATCTAGTACACATGATGCTGGTGCATTTAACTGAAGGCTTCTCACATATTTCAGTCAATTGGAGGTAGGTGCTCATCAATAAATTGCTTCACATCCATCATTTCCTATTTATGAATGAAAAACAGTAATTTAGTTTAGATGGTTTATACCAATATTTTTTTCTACTACAGAAAAAATACATAACTGGACTTCTCACTATGTGCAAGGAACTTTTCATTCTGGTCTGCAATCAACACTATTACTTTACTAAAATCAGGTTTTTCATTCAGTGTCCTGATTTATATCATCAACTTGTCTGGACTAAAGTTATAATAACCATTATACTGAAACAAGTGCCCCTGAACTCATTGCCACCGAACTCAATTTCCAATGTCAGCTTCCCACAAGCAAATCAATGAGGAAGCCAAAAGAAAGTCAATGAGGAAATCAAAAGTTGTCCTCACTTAATGACCCACATGGTCCTCATTTAATGTAACAAGTGGGACTGCTGGTATAGTCACTACTCAGCTCCATGTTACATGATATCACAAGAGAGTTCCTGCTCCCAACTACTGTTGTAAGCCAAAGACTAACCGGTACCTCTTAAATTATTTTTTTTTATTTTTCCCTGATTAAAATAACTCATTCTTAATGTAAAACAACCATTACCTCAATACATGAGCTATGCATCATGCCTGAGTAAAGTTTGAAAGCTATGTTGCCAGGGTTTAGCATTTTCTTTAGTGTTTCAGAAGTCACACTTCCAAACATTAAAGGAACCAAAGGATCACGGTCACCATGGCACTGGAGAATAGAAATGTCTTTGTTGATGCAATTGATGGAACCCTAGAAAAAAATGTTACAAGAAGTCACATTATTTTGAGTAAGGCATATTACTCAGGCTGTTTACTTGTTATATGTTCATATTTTTATTTCAGCCTATCTCTAAGCAGATATATCATCATCCTTTTCATTTATATAATCACATAATATGGAATGCTATGCAGAGAGAGTATTTGGTTGGTATCATTTGCTAAATTTTGTGACCAAATAAGAATTCAAATTTCAGGCTCTTTAACCCAAAATTAACACTAAACTCTACATTTGCTATTTTTGAAATTTACTAGAATACAGGATTAGAATCTAGATGCTATCTTTGTTTTTCTCTGGCACACAGCGGAATTTGATAATTCCTTTAAAATTACTTCAGTATTATTTGTAAAGCACAATAAACAGCAATAACTATTATTAACAATTTATAAACTGTCCAAAATTGCTGGCAATCAGCATATAAATATGCTGATTAGTAAATTATTATAGTTCACTGCAGTCAGCCAGATGTTTAGGCTGGATTTGGCATTTTTATTAGGGTCTCATATTTGACAGTACAAATAAAAATTAACTCTCATTTTTATGAAACCAGTGACTACCTGTGGAAATGAAGTTCGCAGTGGAAGCCAACAGCTGAGTGCTATAACACCCCCTAACTTCTGTTGTGTTGTGAGGGCAGTGTATAAAGATAAAGCTCCTCCCTAATAAAAATCAAGGTAAAGTCCATTAGTAGAGTCGTAATCAAATATTGAACAACAAACATAATTTACTTTTAAAAATTGAAATTTCAATTATATTTATTTCATAATATTTAAGAAACTCATCAAGCATTTATAATGAAGTAGCATTAGTTGTTTGATTGTCACATCAACTAGTCTAAACATGTAGAAACACTTGCCAGAAGTACGTACATCTCTCTCTCTCTCTCTCTCTCTCTCTCTCTCTCTCTCTCTCTCTCTCTCTCTCTCTATGTTATGAACATGACTTCTGAACACAGATTGTAAAACAATGAACCTATGTATAAAGGAGAACTCTGTCTTTGTTTAATCCAATTCATAATGTGTTTTAGTATAATTTATTTTGTATGTCAGATAGATAGATATAAAATCTTATATTATCCCATATACATTTTCATGTTCATTTATTTAAGAAGCTAGCCCTTGAAATGTACATGGGATTAGGTTATTAATCTAACAGTACTATTTGTGTGCCAAAAATATCACAGACACATAGACAGAATTATTTTAATTCTACTAAACAACAAAGGTTTATCAAGTCAAAAGCATTTGCTATAAACTATGCAAAACGTATTTTGGACAGTACAAAATTACCAGTATGATGAAAACAATAATAATTTGTCATCTCTTTCCTTTCGACCCTATATATATATGTAGACTTAACTTCTATTTTAGCATTTGTATTGGTCTGAACATCATTATTCATTCTGCACTCTGAAGGAAAAAAAAAATTAAATAAGCATATCAAATCTACCAGTAAAACTGGATTGTCTTTATGCTGATACAAGCTAAATACTTACAATAAGCACAGACCTAAATAACCGTAACTGAAAAGATACTTGGGAGCTTTTTGCAGAATAAATATTTTGATTAATAATCCAGAATGATTAAAAGAACTATTTTAATTAGTTAGTTACAACAGATTTGCCACACTATTAGGGTTTCTATAGAATCGGAATTGTTAGATCAATATTACCTGAGAAAATCCGCCCAAAATTATTCTGTTTGAGGGTATTCCATTTCTTACTTCTTGTTCTATAAGTGTGTTCACTGAAAGAAAAGAACTGAATGTTAACTACGCTTATAAAATACCAGACCATCATAGAAAGATTGGAAGCAATAATTGCATAAAGGTTATATAGTTCCCCTCACTTTGAAGTTTTCACTTTAGGATGGATAGGTATTGACACATTAATCATTTTTATGTTTTACTATTCTATCTTCTCATTTAATTTTGGAACTATACAGATTCCATTGTTTTAGAATGAAGTTTAAAGAAAATAATTGATTATATTTATGCAATAGTCACTTAATATTATTAAATTACAATAAATTTCATTTTTAAGGAGCACATAATTCTTAAAAAATGTCAGTATAGTACAATATTTGTTCTATTATAACCTTAAAATACATTATTTTTTGTGTTTAAAAATAGGTGATACAAAAGGTGTGTGTGTATATATGACTATTGAGGCAACAGATGAATATATCAAGCATCAACTTGAAACAGAAGACTCTGGGATTAAAGCAATGATGAAAGAATCCAAGAAATACAAAATGATACAAAAATATTCATAGTTATTCTAAAGAAAATTATTAGTACATCAGTAGAACTGCTTTAGAATGATACTCTATGATACTGTAAACTGTTGATAACATTTACAGGTGACACAAATCATCATTAAGTCTATTAAAACCTCAAGGCTTTTAAATGCAATGCTACAAATTATGGCAATACTTGTTCTTAGTTATTTAATTATGGTAATAATTAAGAAAGGGCATGTTTAGACTCACTATATAATTCCAACATTTTATTTCAGCAATCAAATAAACCATATAGACTCTAATGAGCTGAATCTAATGGTCACACATCTGCCTCCACAAGCAATTCTTACATGTCCCCCCAAAAATGCACAAAAGTTTCTCCAGATCATTCAGGGGATCAAAAGAACAGAATGATAGGAAATCATGTTAAGTGACCAAATATTGTTTAGTAGTAATATAGTTCCTCAGCTGCAATAATTTACATAAGACTTGTTCAAATTGTGTTTAACAGAATACGAGGGTTGTGTAAGAACTTGTTGGGATTCTGTGAACCCCCACCACAATTTTCAGTCACAGAAGAAAAAGTAGGACTTGTCCACTGATATTCAGATATGAAATATCTCCCACCCCATAGTTTGTACCGACGACTACTCATGACTTTTTTCTGTATTTAAAAGGCAGGCAGTATGGGCCCTAAGGAATTCTTGGTGTCAGAACAAGTTTGTAATCTGATCTGACCAGGTGGAAAGTCTAGGCTGACTGGAAAAAGATGCTCTTCAACAGGAAGAAATGGAAAGTAATATTATATTTAGGAAGGAAAATATATGTCATATGAACAAGATTGAGGATTCATAACCTGAACAGGATTTGGGTATGGCCACTGACAAGCTCAATATGAGCCAATAGTTGAGACAGCTGCTAGAAGAGCTAAGGTAATTTTGTGTTGTTTTAGAAGCAGCACCATATCAAAGATGTATATTTTACTCATATAGCTAAAATATTTTATGTAGCCATCAGAAAGGGTTAGAGTTCTCCACCTTGGAGCATTTTAAGAAGTGGCTGGACAGCCATGTTTTAAGAACAGTATAATCTTCCTGATACTGTGAGCACTTGAGTAGATGATTATATTCCCTTCCAACTGCACAATTCTGAGTCTGTGTCATTTTGCTGCGATCTACTGATCATCTGGATTTCTTCAGGACAGATGATCTTCACGGATCATATTCTTGCTATTCAATGCTATTTTTTTAAATCATAAAATATCAGAAGCATTATCTTCATTTATAGTTTGTTAGCTGAAGTACTTATTTGTTTATTCATTTATATAGTTGCTTACTTAACATACAACTCAATAGTACTGTTTAGATATGAAGATTATTTGCATTATTCTATAATATCAATGGAACATATCTAACTTTATGAAGCACTCGTTTATAAGCAGGATGGAAATTGGTAAATTCCCAAGCAATTATAATTATCTACTTCATCAAATACAACACGAACATACCATTCTCTGATGCTTGCTTGATCCCAGCTTCATCTTCCTGTGAATCTGGAGCAAGTCCAAAAATATCGAACCTTTAATCAAACAATTATATTGTATTATATTATGCAAGTAACTTCACAACAGGAATTATTAGAATAAGCATAAATAAAGTTATTCAGGTTTAATCTTGTATCCAGCAAGCTTAATGAAGCTCAGTCTTCCATAAAATATATATCTATAACAGAAAACTAAGCCTTTAAAACTGAAATTTCAGGATTTCTAATTATACTTTTCATAGAATAAGGAACTCTGTTTTCTTCCAAACATCCCTATCAGGTAAAGCTGTTCTGGTGAAACATACCAAAACAATACTTGTTCAACAAGTTCATAATCATACATTTAGTTGAAAAGTCTGTAGAATTCATGAGAATTGGCAATACAAAAATTAGTCAACTGCAAGATAATTTTTTTCAGCTTTATATCAAACTCTTAACATTGTGAAATTGCAAAAGGGATCCAGCTAGGTACTACAAAGAAATTGTGTAAAATTCTTGGTTTCAAATTTGAGAGTGGTGAGTATACAGTATAGTGGAAACATCTTGTCGAGGTAATTAAGAGTGTCAGATGACCTCTATGCATTTTCAGCAGTATAGTCCCCATGGATTACTTTTACTATGGTACTAGTAGAATGAAGACCTACTTGCTCAACCTTGCAGGACGTTGCAGGATGGTTTTTGGATCTTTTGGCAAGTACAATATCAATACTTGTGTTCTAATCAGACTTCCTTGAAACACTACTGTAGGGCCTTCAATATTATTTAACACCAATAATATTCTTAAAAGTATTGCCTATGTATAGTAGTAGTAGTCTTCAAGCAAATGTGTCTTCAAGGAAATGTTAGGGAAGGAAAATATGTTATGGAGATGGCGCACCAAAGAATTAATATAGAAGTTGGGTCAACATGCAATCTTGCTTAATGCCTTTCTCAGTTTTAACAGTACTGATAAGAGGGCATGGAGTTATATCTTAGTCTGAGTGAAATGCCTTCATGTATCATACATATAAAATGAAGTAAATGCTGGTGAATTAAGGAGGCCTCCAATTTATTACACAATTTATATGGAATAAAACATTGCTTAAAATCAACAAAAGCAACATAGAGGAAGACATGAAAAATATTTTTCAATGAAATGCTGGAGTACAAGGTACTGATTAATGTGACTTGACTTCTTATAAAACCCTACAAGCAGATTTTCTTGATTCAACCAATTCCAGAATTTCCACTGTAGGTATCTTGCATACAGCTTGCTGGTGATGTTGAGATCAATAGCTGCATAATTACCAGGATATCATCTCTCTTTTTTATACTTAGGAACAAATACTGAAAGTCTCAAATCCTTGCAGACTCAACCCAGGTATCAGCCACATTAGAGGCCCAGAAAACAAGATTGCTTTTAATGGCCTGTAAAAGGATTTGGTCATGAGTATTCTTCATGTGTCCATTAGGGAATATCTAGCCAATGAAGGGCAAATTGGAGACTTTGAAGGAGAGCTGACTTCAAGAACTCATTTATAATTTGATTTAGTTGATGAGGGATCCACTTGACTCAACAAGAACTTGATATGATTCTTAACTGCATGGCCATTTATCATTCTGATAAGGAAATAACTCATATATAAAGACTCTTTGAATGTGATGAGTCCATCATAATCTGCTCATTTGTTTAAATGTATAAGGGAGAGCTGGCTGGTTGAAAGTTAGACGTATGTGTTGAGTAAGTAGTGAAAAATAATCAGATCTGGAGGTTAAGAGTTGAGGCAGGAAGGTCATGATTGTCTTGGAGCTACCCATCTATGGACATTAGCATGGATTTCTAGAAAGTTGCTTTTTCTGCAGGGCACATTAGTAATTGGCTGCATCAACTACTTCAAGTTGACTGATGGGACAGACTGCTAGAGAGTTAATGTGGCCAGGTTCTGCTGAAGTTTTAACCCTCTAAATACCTCGACAATGTGTAGATAAAAGGCTTGTTGGAAGCATGGCTGCAATGTTGTTCAGTCATTGTAATATAAAGATCTGCAATATAAAGATCTTTCTGCTCATAATAGGTAAACATCAAGGAAAGCCTAAGTGATGTAAATGGGATGGGGAAAAAGTGGGCACTTGTTTTATGGGTTACCTCCATTATCACTCTGCTCCAGAGGGTGGCTTGGATTGAATCTTTTGTGGGTCAGGGAGGCAGCCTGGCTTCTCTGTTATGATTTTGGGAGGGGGTAGAGGAGGGGAACCTAAAGCTGTAAATCCATTATTCGTGATTCATGCTGACTCTGTATTAGGGAGATAGGAGTTGATCCTCATCTATTTCCCTGCTTTATTGGGTTATGAAGCCCAGCATCATTACTGGAACTGGTATAAATTCTTTCCTTTCCTCTATGTGACATTTAAGCTGTAGGGACTGAACCAGAGGGGCAAGGTCAGTTACAAGCTGAGTGCTTGTTTGAGGAGCTACTATTAGTAGACATCTTGGCTCCTTGTACCCCAAGCCCATATATCTTATCAAATGTGCCATATGAAATTAGCATCTGTGGCTAATTAAGTCCCTTTCCATTTATTCTTCATTATTCTTATTTTTTTAGTATAAACAGTATAAGCCACAGGAATAAATAAGTGCAAGAATGTTTCAAAATTAAAAATAAACAATTGCGGGAGGGGAAATTAATCCCTCACTTACCAGGAAGGCATGGCCATATTCATGTTGAGAGAAACTGGCATGATGGGCCTTGAAATTGTGTAAAGAAAGATTCAACTTAAACGTCAGCAAGAATATTTCAAATATTCCCTTCTGCATTTTAGCAAATGTTAGACTATTTTTTAAAAAATCTGCAACCCTTAACTAATATAATCATATATAATCAGTAATATAATCACTAATTCCTGATAATATCATGATTTAAAAAGCTTTAACAACTTGAAAGAATTGTAGCTGATAGTATTAGTCACTACCACATAACTTGATATTTACGATGATAATTGCTAGGACTCATCTTTCACATATGCTTTGAATTTTTATTCTACTTGTATTGCATTTCTTCCAAGAGGTACAGCCCAGCAATAAAAAGATAACAAACTAAGTGTAGATCATGTCCTATTAGTCCTGTAATTTGTTTTTTATTTTTTTAAATCATAGAATTGCATTATACTGTTTCCTACCACATGTCTTTTCCTAATTTCTTATTACATTGTGATAATCTATATTAGTATCTATTCAAAGTTTAAAGTAGCTTAAGGATATTCCAGAGATGAAACAATTGTTTAAATTCAGGTACCTTGCAAAATTAATCATGAACTGACAAATGTTTAGAATACAATTGACATCCTTTTCTTTCAGAATTTAGGACAGATGCTTTTCTTTATATAATTTAGGTAATAGATTTAAAGGTCTAAATCTATCACAAGTCCAATTGTTTTTCTTTCCTTTTAATTTGAAGACCTGGAACTCTACTCAATTTCCTGTTTACAAAGAAACCAATACAAACACTAAAAGGATGAGTCCATAAAGCTTCCACTAACATTCTGTTGATTGAAATTATGGTAAAATAAAATTTCTGACATCCTGTATTGCTTTTCTTGCAATCTTTCATATTTGCCTATGATACTGTTATTTTTTATAATCCAGTCAATCAAGTGTCAGAATTCTTGAAGTTACTGAGCCATGCATGCATTGCCAATTATGTGGCATATTCCTTAGCTGTACACAAGCCAGCTCAAATAGGTTTTTGTAACCATTTGTTCTTTCAGATAATTATGAATTTTAGATGGTTTTGGGGAATTTGCTTTTCTGCAATTTCTTGCCCTTCACATAATATGGAATGGGACAATTCGCTGTGGAACAACTCACCATGGCCAACTTGCGGCATGACAACTCAATGCAAGATACATATAATTATTACTAATAATATTACTAATAATTAAGAGGAACGGGTCTAGAGTACAGTTATCTCACATTAAGTTGTCCCAAAGCGAGTTCACCGCAGTGAGCTGTCCCACAGCGAGTTGGCCATGGTGAGCTATCCTGGATGACCGGCTGGTAACAAGATGGCCACAAGTTGTCCTAGACCCCACATAATGTGTGATTACTTGGTATACAGGAATTTACAAGATCTATCTATCTATCTATCTATCTATCTATCTATCTATCTATCTATCTATCTATCTATCTATCTATCTATCTATCATTCCATTCTCATCAGTGTAAAGAGGATTAGTTTTTTTGTTTGTCCCAACTCATTGGCTAAGAATTAGCAATGGTACTTGGACATATACAGGTAGTTCCCGACTTACAACAGTTCACTTAGTGACCATTCACTGAAAAAGTGACTATTTATTTATTTATTTATGAGACTTATATACCGCTTTTAAGTGCAAGCACTCTCTAAGCGGTGTACACCAGTAAGCAATGTATATATATATTTACATTGCCCCCAACAATCTGGGTCCTCATTTTACCTACCCCGGAAGGATGGAAGGCTGAGTCAACCTTGAGCCGGTGAGATTTGAACCGCTGACCTGCTGAACAGTCAGCTAAAGTAGCCTGCAGTACTGCACTCTAACTGCTGCGCCACCTCGGCTCACTTATTTTTCTCACTTATGATGTTGCAGCATCCCCATGGCCATGTGATCAAAACTGAGACACTTGGTAACTGACTCATATTTATGCAGTCGCAGCGTCCCAGGATCATTTGATAACCTTTTGCAACTTTCTTACAAGCAAAGTCACTGGGGAAGCAGATTCACTTAACAATCACATTACTAACTGAACAACTGCAGTGATTCACTTAACTACTGTGGCAAGAAAGGTCATAAAATGGGGCAAAATTTACTTAAAATAAATGTTTCACTTAGCAACAGAAATTTTGGGGCTCAACTGTGGTCATAAGTCAAGGACTACCTGTACTGCTCCATAGTGCTTTACAGCACTCTCTGAGTGGTCTACAACGTCAACATATTGCCTTCAACAATCTGGGTCCTCATTTTACCAACCTAGGAAGGATGGAAGGCTGAATCAACCTTGAGCCAATCAGAATCAAATTCCTGGCGTGTGGGCAGAGTTAGCTGCAATACTGCATTCTGCACAGCTCTTAGTTAAATAGGCTGGAGCTTCTTCAAAATTGAGGAATAGGAATAAGCAAGCAGATCCAGGAAAAAAGAAACCATGGACTTTTGAAGCCAGTGTCTTAGAATGGAAGGGCTGCTTCGGGGGGGGGGGGGGGGCTCTTTCTGAAAGAGGCTGGGAACTTTTCTTCCACATCTGAAGACTCAAAAGGTTAGCACTCAGATGGGAGGAAAATGGCATGGTGGGCTGAAGAAAGGAATTGTGGGGGTCCAAACTTAGTTTTCCTAGCCCAGGGCAGGAACTTCCTTCTGTATACAGATGGAAGCTGCCTGTCCTCTCTTGGCAGGGAGCTCTTTCCCTCTGTCCTTTTAATGATTTGCAGTCACTTAGTGACTTGCAACTGGGAAAATTAGGGTAACAGTTGTTGAGAGAGTCAATCACTTGGTGGCCTCGCTTAACCACTGCCCTGACTTACAACCCTAATGGGCAGGCTCCATTATGGTCATAAGTCAAGGACTATCTGTAATTTCTTTCCCATAAATGAGTCACATAATTCTGTCAGATTTACTCTTGAGTACTTTAATGAAACAGCAAGCGGAAAATAGTAATACTTACGCATGCGGACAAATATACTTTACGTGTGGACTCCTAATACCAGCAAATGCTTCTGCCCAGCCATGCCTATAAGGATATAGAAAACAAATTCCCATTAAAAATATTCTCAGCTGTTCCTATATATTGTCTGCTCTTTAAAGAGCCACAGCATGCCATGGTTTTGTTCCACCTTTGCTTTAAACAGGTAGTGCCACCAACTGGGACTCAGGAAGCATGTCTTCTCTGTCACAGCATCTACCTTGTGGTGTGATGCCCACCCAGCTATCTGTTTCTCTTCCACCTAATGATGTTCCAAAGAACTTTAAAAATATGGCTGTTCTCTTAGGGTTTGGGGTTATAGAATATTGTCAGCATTCCATGGCATTTGGGTGTTATAAATTTTTAAAAATATTTTTTTCTTTTTCAAACTGTAAGCTGCCCAGAATCATTCTAAATTTGGGCAGTTCCTAAATTTAAAAAATTCAAGATATAACATTAGATTATTAGATATATGAATGGAGCTATGAGAGACTAAACATACTGAAATTATCCAGAGAAGGGGAATCTCAGAATACTGGGATTTTATTTGCAATACTCAATTTGTAATACTAAAAAATCTAGTATATAAATAATTCCATGGATGACACTGTGCATTCAAAATGACTACTTCAGGGTTTATGAGATTAGAACAAAACATTTAATGTTAAGTAATTTTTGACTTTGAGACTAATTTTTTTTCCTCCAGTATTCTCTGGTGTAGTCTGACATCTTGCATTTGGATTGGCTTTTTTCTCAGGCTTATTAGGACTTATTTCTGAATATATTGCATATGAAACTGAATGGCCAAGATCTTATAAAAGATTTATTTTTAAATAAAACTTCTACAAACAAGTTTTGTATGAAAAAATTCTATTCTTGTTTTGACTTAATCATGGCAATTTAAAGTCAAATAACAATCTGCACATACTGAATTTTATCAAAATAACTGAAAAGGACTATACATATAATTCAAATTCTTTCATTAACTGAATCTTTAAGACACATGCCCTAATATCTTCCAATACCCTGTTCTCCAATTAATACTGTTACCATGAAGTCAGTTTCAACTCTTACTGACCTCAGAGACATCTATCAAATGAAATGAACACAGGGGAACTACCAGAGGACTGGAAAAGAGCTGATGTAGTTCCCATCCTCAAAAAAGGAAAAAAAATGGATCCAGGAAATTACAGACCTATCAGCCTGACCTCAATACCTGGGAAGATCCTGGAAAAGATAATCAAACAACGAATCAACGAACACCTAGAGGCAAACAAAGTCATTACTAAAAGCCAACATGGGTTTGTCAAAAATAGATCATGCCAGACAAATCTTATTGCATTCTTTGACCAAGTGACAAAATTAGTGGATCAGAGGAATGCTGTGGACATAATTTACTTGGACTTCAGTAAGGCATTTGATAAAGTAGATCACAACCTACTACTTGACAAGATAGAAAAATGTGGGGTAGACAGAACCACCACCAGATGGATCCGTAGCTGGCTGACCGGCCGTACTCAGCGAGTGGTCCTCAATGGAACTGCATCTATATGGAGGGAAGTGTGTAGTGGGGTGCCCCAGGGCTCTGTTCTGGCCCAGTACTCTTCAACATCTTCATCAACGATTTGGATGAAGGGATAGATGGGGAACTCATCAAATTTGCAGATGACACCAAGCTGGCAGGAATAGCCAACACTCCAGAAGACAGGCTTCAGATACAGAAGGATCTGGACAGACTTGAACACTGGGCACTAACTAACAAAATGAAATTCAATGGTGAAAAAAGCAAGGTTCTACATTTAGGCAAGAAAAACCAAATGCACAAGTACAGCATAGGTGGCACCATGCTCAATAGTAGTAACTGTGAGAGGGACCTCGGAGTCCTAGTAGACAATCACCTAAATATGAGCCAGCAGTGTGCTGCAGCTGCCAAAAAGGCCAACACAGTGCTAGGCTGCATTAACAGAGGGATAGAATCAAGATCACGTGAAGTATTAATACCACTCTACAATGCCTTGGTAAGGCCACACTTGGAATACTGCATCCAGTTTTGGTCACCACGATGTAAAAAAGATGTTGAGACTCTAGAAAGAGTACAGAGAAGAGCAACAAAGATGATTAGGGGACTGGAGGCTAAAACATATAAGGAACGGTTGCTGAGAATTGGGTATGTCTAGTTTAACGAAGAGAAGGACAAGGGGGGACATGATAGCAGTATTCCAATATCTCAGGGGCTGCCATAAAGAAGAGGGAATTAAGCTATTTTCCAAAGCACCTGAAGGCAGGACAAGAAGCAACGGGTGGAAACTCATCAAGGAGAGAAGCAACCTAGAACTAAGGAGAAACTTCCTGACAGTGAGAACAATTAATCAGTGGAACAGCTTGCCTCCAGAAGCAGTAAATGCTCCAACACTGGAAGTTTTTAAGAAGAGACTGGACAGCCATTTGTCCGAAATAGCGTAGGGTTTCCTGCCCGAGCAGGGGGTTGGACTAGATGACCTCCAAGGTCCCTTCCAACTTTACTACTATTACTAGATTACTAGAAATGTAAACACTAACTTCAGCATAGCATAACAATTAGTGAACACTACATTTTTCTTTGCAAATTGCAAATAATAAAAGGTAGTTTCAAAGGTACAGATTGTTTATTTAAAATGCCATTTTACTTACCCAGTATCTCCTAATCCATGGAGAAATATGACCTAGGATTGAATAGTATATGAATAGCATTACTACATGCTGGAAAGTTAGCTCTTCAAAAAACATTCTGTTCTTATTTCCCATAAATCTAATTGCAATAGACACTGCTAAAGACAAAGTGTGCCCACTTAAATATAACAAATATATCAAAAGGGCATGATTTTGGTAGTATCAGCAAGTGCACTCATTTGACATACTACTTACAACTGCTGTATACCTATACGGTCTGTGTGGACAGAAAGAAAGAGACAGAAAGAGAAAAATGTATAAGATTTTCAGTGATTGAAAATCTGAATAATTTGTATTATATATCTTTGGCATTTAGTTAACCTAGCAATTTAAACCATTTTATACTGATAACTGTGCTTAGCATTATTACATTAATCTATTCAATATTCTTAATTTAGGTTTAGAACTTTTTTCTTTTTAATCCACTATAATCTATAATGATAGATCTTGTTCTGTCTTAAGTAGAAAATAAGTATTATTTATTCTTCTAGGGATGAAAATAAAATCTTCAAGAGTTATTGGCAGAAATAAACTATCTTTTTTGGACTGAACAAAATTGAAATTTATAATGTAAGGAAAATGTAAACATGCTCAGAAAATAGTTGCTCTCAGAAACTTCTCTGTGTACAAAACAGTGCCATAATTAGCAGAGCTAGTAACAAAATGCCAGTTTATAGAAGGTAAACTAGCCCAACCTATCTCCCTCCACTTTATTACAATTTAAATCCTACATCAACCTACCCGGTCCATGCATCTGATGAAGATCACAAAAGCATATGACTTTTAATATTTAGACAGAAGGGTTGCTATAAGACCCCTGTTATTTTAGTCTATTAAGACTCTCTGCTAACTCAGCAGTATTGCTGTGAAGACCATAGATGCTACTGACAATAAACTGATACTGTATTTCCCCAAAAGTAAGACCTACTCCAAAAATAAGCCCTAGCTTTATTTTTTGGGATAGGCCTAATATAAGCCTTACCCCCAAAATAAGCCCTAGTTTTGGACCGAAGCACACACCTAAAAATCAAGCTAGGATGGGGGTGGAGCTTACCATTGCAGCCAGGCCTCCCATGGATCGACACTTGCTTCGCTGGATCACTTCTTCTGCGGCTGAAGAAGGAGCTTCATTCTGCAGCTGAGAATTGAGCTCCGGCCTACATTTCGCAATCAGAGGCCTTAAAGGCCTCTGCAGTCAAGAAGCAAGCTTTGACTGTGAAATGCAAGTCATAGCTCCATCCTCAGCTACAGAATGAAACTGTTCCTTCGGCTGCAGAAGAAGTGGGCCGGCTGGGTGGGGCTGTTGGTGTCACTGCCGCAAGGTGAGTGGAAAAGCCACCGCCCCGAAAATAAGACCTGGTGCCTCTTTTGGAGGCAAAATAATAATAATAATAATAAGACTGGGTCTTATTTTTGGGGAAACACGGTACTAGACGCCAGTTATTTGCTTTGCAACATAGAATAGAGTGCAAGAGGCTTGTTAGATCAGGCATAAGCCCATTTAAACCAGTTTTTATGACCAACTGGATACATTTGAAAATCTCACAAGTCTGGATTCAATGATGACTATCCAGCAATTACGGTAGTTGTTTTCTTGCAAAAGTATTTAAGATTTACTTTATGAGGCAATACATCATCTCCATCTCAGTCAATACAGCCACCACACTGTCATACAGGTATTCCTTAACAGCCGACTATTTGTTCAGCAAAAGTTTGATGTTACAGCAGTACTGAATGAAGGGAATTACAACTGGTTGTTATGGCTCTTACAGTGTCCCGATGGTCACATGATCAAAATTTGAACCTTGGCAGCCAGTGTTCACTTACAAGCACAGGTGAGCTTCAATTGCCCCCCCCCACCTATCCTCCCCATGCCCTTCTGGCCCCTACACTTTGCAGCCCATCACCCTAATTGACCTTCAATATCTTCTTGCTCTCATTGCTGATTAAGCATGCCCGGTCTGGTCTTTCATGAATCAGTTCCTGGCTATACAAAACTTTCTTCCCCAAGTTGCACATGGCTGTTTTTTCACAAGATCTGGGGAAGATGGCCTTGTGTGGCCAGCAGCTGCTTCATGAAGGATCAGACCACACATACCTCAGCAGCAGCAGGAACAAAAAGGAACAGCTGGGGCAATGGAGTACAGGATAGTGATGATGACAGTGGCTGGGCTGGGGCAGCTTTAGCTTTGCATCACTCTGCTCGGCTGGCCTCAGCTTTGTGTTGCAAAAGGTTTCACACTGCAAAGGGCTTCTTGCTGTACTGCAGCTTAGGGGCTACTTGCTCTGCAATAAGAAACCCAAGATGCAGTATGGAAAGCAGCATCAGAGCTATGTGGTTCTAGGGCTCCTTGCTGTCTTGCAAGTCAGTGATAAATAGGGGAATTGAAAAGGAGGTGGCCCCTTACCTTACCAAGGCTTGGGATTGGGAGGGACCAAGCATGAAACAGTTTGGATTGGGTGAATACTTGCTTCACAACCTGCATTTCTCAGTTAACAATAGCAACAGGGGGGTGGAATTGCTATCCTTAGTGTGGTCATGTGACATGCTTTATGACATCACTTAGCAATGGAAATTCTGGTTCCTATATGCCAAGGACTACATGTAGTTCCGGGCGCACCATGCTGTGATAAAATCATGTTTTAAGATCTTGTGACAAGTCAGTATGGTTGAGGGCCAATCTGATCTCCAGGGAAATGATGTTCCATAGAGTGAGAATATGACAGAAAAGACTAGTCTAGCAAACAGACTAGGACCATGCCCTTCCTGTTGGATCTGATGGAATGGGAAGATAGGATTAGAGAGAGTTGGTTCCTCAAATAACCTGGTCCCATTCATAATCAGTGCTCTTTCAAAACCACCAAACTTAGCTACCCTAGTCCCAAGTGCTGGCCATAAAATCCATAGTTTATAATTTAGCTATATACTATGTCTCCTGCTGATCTTGAATCTCCCCATGTTTAGTTGCAGTATGTATCTTTGAGTTCTAGCAAGGTAAGATAGAGAAAAGGAGAGAGTGTCAAGAGTAAACGAGTTCTGAGTAGAAATATGCAAAAAATATTTCATGATATAATCATATAATATTTTATAACATAAATATAAGCAAATTTCAGAAGATTCTATAGAAACTTTCTAAATTAGATAAGAGCTCAGAAATAACTCATCTTGATTCTCATCTTGATATTGCCTGTCACCAATATCTCAGCACAACATATTCCACCAATCTGTCCATCCACAATATTTCCAACACTTTCTCTTACTTCCCTTACCTGACATCCTTCAGCTGCCAATGTTCAACCCCTACCGCACAGCATATCAGCGTGCTTACCCCATAATCTTTCCAGAACCTTCTGTTCTATCCCTCTCCTGCCTCTCAACCGCTACCAATATCCTTGACTTTTCCCACTCTTCCTTAAAACACATACTTAGAACACCTACATTTCAGTCCATATGGACAAGAAAACAACCCCGTTTTGTTCCATACTCCAACCAAACACATATTTTGATTTAAGCACAGATCGCAATGAGTTATTGGACTCATGAAAACTGTTCATACAGTGTTTTTTTATTAATGATGAAAGAAGGTAGATTGAGTATAAAATAGTGATCAGTTCAAAAGAAGTTCACTGAGGTGATTTAGTCATATAAAAAGAATTACAAAAAAATTATGTTGAAAGGATCTGGAAGACTAAGAAAGGTTCAGTTAGTTGGAATTGATGAAGTCTTCAAAACTCAGAATTGGTCCAGTTGTGATATCAAAGATACGAATGAAAAGTTACTCATAAGAAAATAGCACTCCAGGTAAGTATGTAGGTATGATTTTTATCCTTTTTCTTAAAATATTTTGAGTGGGTTGACATCTTCGCACCCATGACAACTCAAAGATTACTTTTCAGATCACTGGCAGATCAGATTCCATTAATACAGAGATGAAGTTCAGACTTTTTTCTGTCAATGTATATCATTTATACCTCTTTACACAGAACTTAATAGCTATACTGAAACTGGACCTATTCACAATTCCCTTTTGATTTTACAATCTTGAACAGTTTAGTATTATCAATAAATGTAAATAATCAAGTGCTCATTTAAAATTAAACTTTGGGTATCCAAGGATATCAAATTATCTAGCCTTTGTTTAAAATCATAATGATCCAATAATATTGCTAATAGAAAATAGGTAAGAAATATTGCATGCAACAGAATCCATTAAGGTTTTTTTCAGAACTTAGCACTTCAAATTATTTTTATCAATTACGTGCACAACGCCTTTAGGGCTACTTCTTTAGGATACTCTTGAATAGTAGCTGACATTAACACAATTCTCGCTAATTCACAATTCAGTTATTTTGATACAAGAATTCACACCAAGCCACTTTGGAAAGACACAATTAAAATGGTGAAAAAGTGGTTTTCAGCTAAAAATATAAATGTGTTGCCTTCCTTATACAGTATTTTTTCAACAATTTTATGTATCATACCTGACATTTTTAATGATTTGCTTTTCTAAAAATACTATCTACCCATAAAAAACTTTCAGTGGGATATTGTAAAACATTTTTTCCACATCATTTGAAGCTTCTTCATAAAGTATTAACAGTTGGAAGGAGGTCATCAAAGCAGCTGTCCTAATTAAATTTCTAAGCATGTTTGATGAGCTGGGAGGTCCTAGGAAATGAGAGCACAGTGGACATTGTCTAATTTTGAAAATGTATATATCAGATTATTACTCTTGCATTCCTGCTGTTGGACCAAAACTCCTCCAGATCGCAACGAACGGTCAAGACCATCAGAAAAGCTCAGGCGTTTTGGGAATATTATTCCCAGGAAATAAGAGGGCGCCGCACCGGAGGCCTTCAGCGCCAAGTCATCGCCAACTCGCCTGTTCGGTCAGAAAACCTCTGCATAGGTGAGTCTATGAGCGTTACTCAAAAGCAAGGCCCGCTGCAGGAAGCCTTGCTGAACCGGAACCGACCCTTCCTCTTGTTCCCCCTTTGCCCGGCCAGCTTCTATCCCAACGCGCCCTCTTGCTCCCTGAGATAAGAACCGCCTGGAGCTCCGTTACTCACTCACCGCGGCGGTAGCCTTCTTCGCGGCCGGGACAATGGCTGGGAGAGGAGCAGACATTGTGTTGCCGCACATACACTGGGCTATCCTCTCGCGTCGGCCAGTCAGACACTGACGGGGCGGGCGGGCGGGAGGTGGGGAAACGGGCGGGACAGGAACCCGATTGGAACTAGAGAGACGGAGGATACTCAGCAGGCCCGCCTCCCTTCCCAGTAAAGGGTTGGGAGGGGGGGTGCGCGGGTGCCCGATCCCTGCTGCTCAGTTGAGAGAGCGGAGGCGGCCGTTGAAACGGGGGCGGGAAAGAAAAAAGAACGCTCGAGCGCGGTCCTCGCTCCTGTTATGCTCCCGCGCGTGCGCTCTGCTGCGAATTCAAACCCCTGCGGACCCCGTTAAGACCGGCCAATAGCAAGGGATTCTGGGAGCTTCCAGTTCAGGTCACGTGGCTTCCTCTGGGATTTTGTTGGACTCCGCTATCTGGAACCACGAAGTGTTTCAGCAAACGAGTATTTTAATTGAGACCTTGCTTTATTTTAGCTGATTCAAAGATTGGCAACATGTGATTTTCCAATGATCTTCCGAATCATTCCCCACCATAGAATTACTATTCCTTTTGATAGTCGGACTTCATCAAGGGGGGGGAGTGTTGTCATATGTTATCCATCTTTAAAAAGCATGGTTTATTTTTTTAAAAAAGTACAAGGAGACAATCAAAATTTCTCTTCCTTCCTCCTGTTTGTCTCCAAGGAGACAGTCTCCTATTTTTCCCACAACACTATGAAGTGAGTTGAGCTGAGATTTAGATGGCTTCTTCGTGTTAATCTGCCCATTAAATAACTTTCGGGGAAGAAAAAAAACTTGGAGCAATTAACTCTGTAAGGAAATGCGACAGCTGTCCAAAAGAGAAGTGAAGAATGCCAATATTATTGCAGCTGTCCTGCCGAGTAGAACAAAAACAATATTTTAGCCTCAAGAGATTTTGCACGTACTATAAAACTGTTATGCATTATTTTTTAATATTTATATTGGAAATCTAGGTTTGTTTTAAACCCACATATAAGCATATGGAAAGATAGGTAGGTGTAGTCAGTCAGCGTGCACCAATTCTGACATGGAATCTTCGTTCTAATACGTAAACTGGTTAAACCAAGAGCTTTAAGTGATTATTGAAAATCAAAGTTTTTGAAAACTCAGTACTGTATGTTAGTTGACAACCTTTTCCAAGACAGATCTCCAATACAGCTCAATATAAAGTGCATGTTATCAAAAACAAGCCATGGAATCGATATGCATTCAGATGCACAAGTGTTTTAAGAGCATGAATAACTTTCACACAGCCCCTTGGCATCTTCGCTACCCCAGTCAGTACGTTATAGTTTTATCAAAATCAGACTAAAGGGATCCCACAGAAAAAAACAGAAAATTTCCCTTTCCTACGCTACAAAACTACCTAGCCCGTAACGCTGAGATTTCCCGACAACTGTTGTCTTTGCTGTAGCTTTCACGCGCATTGACTGCAACACCCAAAACTGCAGTAAAAAGCAAACTCTTAATCAAACCTTGAGGAGGGCTCCTCATTTTTCGTTCCTCTATGTCTCTCTACGCGCCTGCGCAAGAGGCCGCCAACGAGCTTGTCCTTTCAATGCAGCGCGGCGGTTCTTTCTGCTGCCCTTGCTTAATTGCGCGGAGGCGATGGCGGCTTCGCGGGTACCTGGCGGGGGGAACAGGACGAAAGCCTTGGAGTTGTTGCGCAGCCTGCCTAGGGTCAGCCTCGCCAACTTACGACCTAACCCTGATGCTGGGCAAAAGGTGAGTTGAATGCTTGCTGTGCTTCTCTCGCTCTCCGCTGGGCTGCTGCTGCTCCAATGTAGGCCGCTTTTGCCTTCTTCTCGCGGAAATTAAAGGAAGCTAGGCGTCCCTTGCCACATGAATCCCTGAGGATTCCCTTCCCTTCTCCCCTTCCGCTTAGCCCTTTCTGTAGTTTTTACATCTGCTCCGCATTCACTTGCCCTATATTAATGTCCTATATAGTAAGAAGGTTTTTCTTTAACTTGAATGTTTTCTCTAATCCTTTAAAAAAATATGCCGATTTGTTCCATTGCCAAGCAATGTAATATATATATATATATATAAACTTGTTTCAGTATCCAAACTGCTAGGGGAATGAGATATTTTAAAATGGTTTTTGTGCATTCATACTGGAATAGAGAATTGTAAAGAATGGGATAGCCTATGAAGACAAAATGATAAAAGAGGAGGCTGGAACTGAATTAAATTTGAATATGAAACTCATGTAAACATATTGCTCTTTTTAAGAAAAAACAACCAGGTCGCGGAAGATATAATCCTTCAAAGAGAACTGGCGGGCAAGCAAAATCTGGGTCACTCCCTCGATTAGGCTTTGAAGGTGGCCAAACACCATTTTATCTGGTTATTCCAAAATATGGCTACAATGAAGGACACCAGTAAGTTTATTCCATTATTATTATATGTACAAAAATGTGAAATAACATCTGCTGGTTCTTTAGCTGGTGTTTGCTTTCAAGTACATTGAATTGTCCTATAGGAGTAGTATTTCTGTGAATCCAGGGTGGCCTTATGTAATTGACAGAAGGAAATGTTGTCAAAGTACATATTTTCTAAATGGCATCCAATAATGATAATAATTTATTATCATCTTAGGCATAAAAGCTGGCTAGGTGATTTTGGACCAGTCATTGTCTCTCAACCCAACCCACTAACAGAGTTGTTATGGGAAAATAGGGGGTAGAAGTATTATTAGGTATGTTTGCTGCCTTGAATTATATCTATCGATCTATGTATTTATATAACAGGTAGGATAACATTTTTATCATAATCATAATCAGCTTTTTTCTTTAGTCTTTTAAGACATGAAATTAATCTATTCTTTTCCACTACAATTGGAATCCTTCCTCAGATCTCATTACAAATGATTTCTGAAACATCTGATAGTTGATTTCCACAATGAAAAACATAAATGAATCTTCTGAGTATTTTAATGTACGTTCATCTAAATTGTAGTGATTGGCTTAACATTTTAAATAGTGTCTCTATAATCACAAATGATAGAATTGTCCTGTAATTGTAATTACAATTGTAATTGTCCTGTAATTTTCATAATTTCATACCTAATAATACAGAAGACAGAATTAAACACATTTTAATTGCATTATTCAGATGTTATAACTGATATTATACTTGCTTTCCTTTATCTTGATATTTGCAATTTATAGCTAGGCTGCTAAAGAGAATTGTTTAAAAAAAGATTTTGTAAGAGAAATGTGTATGTGTACCTTTTTATTTCTGAATTGTTAATTGGCATGGGATCTGGCAGTGCACAATATTAAGCTGGTCTTTGTTTTGCAAAACATGTTTCCCACATAAAGACACATAGTCTTGAGTGAATCTATATGATTGCAGAAGAATATTTCATCTTTCGTTGAGGGTTGTTGTCCAAGAACAATGTGTTGATGTATTATACTATCAATATTTTTAAATTACTTGGATTTACTTTCTGAATGTTTATTTTCTTTTCATTTCACAGTCTCAGACGTCAATATCCACCCATCAGTCTCAAAAAGCTGCAATACCTTATTGACTTAGGCAGAATTGATCCCATGCAACCAATAGATCTTACCCAGCTGACAAATGCCAGAGGTGTAACATTACAGCCATTCAAAAGACATTATGGTATCCATCTTGTGGAGGAGGCAAGTGTATAACGTCTTTTTTTAAATAATTTAATTTTGAAAGTATACATTCTCCCTCCTTTGTCCCATATTAACAAATACATAATTTTAAACACTGCTAAAAGAAATATTGAAGTGTGGTAAAATGTGCTGCACTAATGTATTTATTGAACAATTTTGATAATATTCTCAAACCATTGATTTTTTTGTTTTTTGTTAATAATGATAAATGAAGTATTTTGTTTAGGAGCTTTATGCATCTGAATAGTTTTTAAAAGAATATTTAATAACATTTTAGAAACATATGCCCCCACAAAATGGCATATAATCAATCAGAAAGATAAGAAATTTTAAAAATGACCATATCCTTAAACTGATGGTACTACAATGTCAGTCTAAAGGCTATATTTGTCGGAACTCTGTTACTGTTAGGAAATACCTGTGAATTTATAATTTATAGGAATTATATGGATAGGAGACCAGGAAGGCAGAAAATGAAATACAATCATCCCAAAGGATGATCTGAGAATAAATAATCAAAAGAAAGTTAAGATTTCTCTTCTTGTGAGATGCCACTGTACAAGCATGAGAATATGACAAAGTACAGGTAGTCCTCACTTGACAATCACTCGTTCAGTGACTGAACTTAAAATGGCACTAAATGAGTGATATTTAAAAACTGTCCTTGAAGTTCCAGTTGTTATAGTAACCCTGTGGTTGCATGATTGCTCGACAGCCAGGCTTTATTTCCCACCATTTTCTTTTTTTTATCACAGTACGACTGAATGAGTGCTCCAGATGGCTTGTTTTCAAACTTAACCTGGTCTCAGTTATAATGCAGACCGCTATAATTTGTACCAAGTTCAATTTCCTGGCTGTCTTCAAAGACAGGATAGTATGAAATAAACTCCAATAATCCTGGAATAACAGGATTGATAACTTGTATTTTAGAATGGGCAGATGGGTGAAGGTTGTTTTAAAGTAATGTTGCGTAATCTAACTTCAGTTTATGTAAACTTACAGGGTGCTGATACTTTTGCAGCAAAAATAAACATTGAAGTACAGTGGGTATCTGAACTAGCCATAGCTGCTGTTGAAAAAAATGGTGGTGTAATTACTACAGCTTTTTATGATCCAAGGAGTTTGGGTAAGAATTTTCAATACATCTTCATGTCTTTGATCTTGCCAAATATTGTTTAAATACATCAATCTGTCATTGTTTAAAAATAAAAGCTTTACAAAATTTAAAAAAAAAATTATCTGTGACACTTTTCACCAGATTTAATCTAAATGTTAGTTTTCTAGTCTTTGCCCTACAGGTATCATTAGGGAAGAACAATGTGGTCGGGTTTATTTTAACAATACAATATACAAAATGGAAGCAAATGTATTTTTTATTTTGTGTTAATGCAATTATTCCAGAAGTTGGATTGTTAATGTGAAAATAATATTTTATCTCTCTATTCCATGTTTTACACATAGAGGTTCTTTGCAAACCAGTGCCATTTTTTCAGAGAGGCAAACCTATTCCAAGGCGAATGCTTCCACCTGAGGATCTTGTCCGTTACTATACAGATCCTGCAAACCGAGGCTACTTGGCCGATCCTTCAAAAATTGCTGAAGCAAGGATGGAACTTTCTAAAAAATATGGTTATATCTTACCAGATATTACCAAAGATGA